TCAACCTTGGCAAAATAAACCTCTGAACTGATTGAGATCTGTCTCGGATACTTTTTGTTCTATAAGGCATAATAAGGCCCAGCCATTTCCCAGCTGGATAATCTGGAGTCCACCCCGAGCCTCCCTGAGTGTCAGTTTCCTCAGGCGTACAATACAATGGCAATAAGAATTGTTTCCAAGGCCCTAGCAATTATGAGATCATATAGGCCATGCTTAGCACCCCATTATTCCATCACGAGGTTTCACTTATCATGGAGTCCATGCTGATTCTACTTCTAAACATTTCTCTAATGTCATTGCTATCTCTTTTGTCAATATGTTAAACGAGTCCCAATCATCTTCCCCATGGAAGACTTAAGTACACTCCCAACTGGACTTCTTGTGTCTGTTCTTCTCCCCTTCCAATCTGTTCTCCATTGTGAAGCAAGGATCACCTTTTTAAACCCCAAATATGAGCATATCACCCAATACCATTCCCATTGTCACCTGATTTAACATACCTCGGTGGCTTCCTACGGGTGTCGGGAGAGAGAACATAACCATCTACACCGCCCTTGGGGTTGTGCCCCTGCTCCCTCTCCAGCCTCATCTCGCCCTGGGTTCCCCCTTGCTCCCTGCATCCCAGCCTTGCTGACATTTTTGCAAGCTCTCCCATCTGCCAGGATGCCTCCTGACACAAGGGCCTGAAACATGCTCTTCCCTCTGCCTGGCAAGCTCTTCTTTCCTTCTCATCTCAGCCCAAATGTCCCCTTTCCAGGGACGCCCTCCCTGAAAGCTGCCCCAGCTGCATCACCTTCCCCACTGGGACGTCCTTCCTTGATAGTGTCTACTTGAATCATCATGTAATATGCATTTGTGTGATGTGTGGATTCCAGTCTGTCCCCTTCACCAGACCATGAGCTCCGTGGCTCACCACTGTATGCCTCAAACTTAGCATAGCGTCTAATAAACAAGAGCTGCTCAAGAAAGGTTTGTTGTATGAATATTAAATGCATGGCACTGGGGAAATTTATAAAATTGTGACTCCCTTTTCCTTTGTCTGGGGCTTCCTATACATGAAAGTTCAAAAAATATGTTTTTGTTTGGTGGTTGTTTTAATGAAACAGATGATTTGTCAAAGTCTCTAACAGTTCAGACCCCTAAGATTTCCCTTTCTGCGGAAGATGGTCAGCAGAGGGCCCCACAGGAGCAATTATTGAAGTCAGGTCAGCAAAAACAGCAGCTGCAGAAAGACACAGCAGATCCTGTGCCCAAATCTCTGTCAGTCCGTGAGCCACTTGGAGAGGACATCACTACCATGGAACCCTGGTCCACTATGCCCAAAAACCGTTTGATCTGGCCTCAAGAAACAGGATTTCATAAGGCAGGAGATTACAGCCCCGTGTAGATTATTTGAATGCAAATCCCTGCTTGCTCCTTAAGCTGTCAGTTTCACGCTTAAGAATTTGTAGTCAAGAACTCGCACAGTTGGGTAGAATCATGCTTGAGTGTTAGGGGAGATTTGCTTTCTTTGGGGGCCACTTTTCGTTTTCCAGTCAGTAGTTTTATTTCCATTTTAATTTTCCGAGCATCTGCCCGCCAGCAACAGCCTATGGTTTGGAATTCATGGCTCTGTTGTGTGTTTACGCACTACGCTTGCTTGTAATTGACAAATTTAAATTCTGGTCATATTTCATTTATTATCCAGACCCAGGGAAAAATCCTAGGCAAAAACCTAATTACAGCAAAAGTGCCACAAGGTAATTGCTGTGGAAGAACTCCTGCAGCAGCAGGGCTGAATATTTCATCCACCCATAAAATGATTATGCTGACAAGATTCTGAAAAATAATAAAATCTGTTTAATAAAAAAGAAGCAAAATATCAGTGTTTTTACACACAAAGTATTAAAACATCCTTCATTTTGGACAGATCCTAAGTCATTTGATTTTTATTCAAATGGTGATCCACAGCCAAGATAGTTCTTTTATCAGAGACTAGGGTTTGGTAATCCCTCCCACATGAGGCTGTGTGGAAGCTTCCAGGCCTGCAATGGCCTTCTGTGTCAGCTTGCCACTGCTTTACTGGATCTCTGGTCTGTGCCCCAGAATCAGAAAGCAGACAGGATGAAAGGAGAATGTCTTTAGTTTAGACTGCTATGACTCCCCTACATTCTCCCTGGCTCCCATGGGGGCTGTCTGTCCTTCTCTCAGAGGACCTAGAGGGCATGCAGATGTGACTTCTGCCCTTGGAGCTTTGTTGAGTCCATCAGGGCGTCTGGGGGTAATTTGCATCTGGGTGTCTCCAACTATCCAGGATACCACCATAGCAGGGGTCACTCTATTCAGCTACTGAACAAAGATGTATGGAGCACTTACCACCTGCCAGGAATTGTGTTAGGCACAGGGTTGATAACAGTGAACTAGACCCTTGGCTCCTGCCCTTGACAGAGGTATATTATAGTGAAAGAGGCAGGCCAAAACCAAACACAAAAAGTCAACAGAAACATACATCAAGCACAACAAATTCATATTTTTTAAAAATTTATTTATTATACTTTAAGTTCTGGGGTACATGTGCAGATCATACAGGTTTGTTACACAGATATGCACGTGCCATGGTGGTTTGCTGCATCCATCGCCCCATCATCTAAATTAGGTATTTCTCCTAATGCTATCCCTCCCCAATACCCCAACCCTATGCTATTCCTCCCCTAGCCCCCCACCCCCCAGGCCCCAGTGTGTGATGTTCCTCCTCTGTGTCCATGTGTTCTCATTGTTCAGCACCCATTTATGAGTGAGAACCTGCGGTGTTTGGTTTTCTGTTCTTGTGTCAGTTTGCTGAGAATGATGGTTTCCAGTTTCATCCATGTCCCTGCAAAGGACATGAACTCATCCTTTTTTATGGCTGCATAGTATTCCATGGTGTGTATGTGCCACATTTTCTTTATCCAGTCTATCATTGATAGGCGTTTGGGTTGGTTCCAAGTCTTTGCTAAGCACAACAAATTATATCAAGTATTGCGTGGAAACACAGAAGGGGCTTGGAGAGAGGATGGGGCGATATTAGAGTAAGGCCTCTCTGAACCATAAAGCCAAACAAGGAGCCAATGTGGCAGGCTCAGAAGGAAACAGGTGCCAAACAACTGCTGGCCTATGCCAGGCCTGCGAGGAGAGTGAAGGGAAGGGAGTCTGGAGCTGTGGGGCCTTATGGACCAGGGCCAGGAGTTTGGTATCTATTCTATTATGGGAAACGCTTGGGAGGTTTTAAAGCAGGGGAAAGACACAATTCCATTTACATTTTAAAAAGCTCATCCCGCTAGAGGCTGGATCATGTAGAGTGGCTCTTAGGGACAAGGGTGGTGGGTGGTGGCAGACAGGAAGAAGGTTATTGCAACACAGGGCAGCACCAGGGCAGCGGGAGTAGAGGCAGGAATAAAGAGAGTTTTTGAGTATGGGCATTTACACACAAAAACATAATTATTTTACAAATCATCTAACATCTCAGATCTTAGCACTAGACTTTCCATTATGATGGCAAGTAAAACTAGAGACCAAAAAATAAAATAAAATACAGCATAATCCTGGCACTTTGGGAGGCTGAGACAGGTAAAACACCTGAGGTCAGGAGTTTGAGACCAGCCTGGCCAACAGAGTGAAACCCTGTCTCTACTAAAAATACAAAGTGTGGTGGCATGCACCTGTAATCCCAGCTACTCGGGAGGCTGAGGCAGGAGAACTGTTTGAACCCAGGTGGCCGAAATTGATTGCAGTGAGCCAAGGTCGTGCCACTGCACTCCAGCCTGGGTAACAGAGTGAGACTCCTTCTCAAATAAATAAATATAAAATAGAGCACTAGGAAATAAAAGAAATAAAGACCTAAATTGGAACTTGAAGCTGGGATACCCATCTCCTTTTTCTCACTTCAGAGAATGCAGACTTTGAATCTTTGTATCCTGCTGGGCTGGGACATGTCTCCCATCCCCAGTGTTTTTCCTAATTGAGTGGTCCTTATTTATGACTGAAAATTATATAAATACTTATGGAAAAAAACCCACTTGGATTCTGGCCTCAGTTACCAAAATAAGTTTCAGTCAAGCTCCCACTGTTTGAGACTTGTATAAGATGCCCAGTGAACCTGCCAGCCAGTGTTTCTCAAACGTGTTCCAAAGACCTCCTAGGTTAAAATAGGAGTCAGGAGGGCAGGGGATTAAAAATGCAGATTTAGGGAGCCCTCCTTAAATCCACTAAAGCCGTCTTTGTGGTGGGCCCCAGAATCTGCATTTTCACAAGCTCCCTAAGTTGTGCACTGTAGGGTCTGAGAAGCTCTGTCTTGAAGTGATTTGTATCATGCTGAGAAATGACCTGTTAGGCTAAAATATAGAGAAGGAGGTGGAGTTAAAATTATGACTAGGCTAAATAAATAAACACAAAGAAATAAAATCACCCTCAAATCTCATTATCACTAACGTTAATAATCATTGTAAACAGTTTGGCAGATAATCTTCCAAACCTGCCTTTATGCACATATGCATTCTTTACTTTTTTTTTTTTTTTTAATAATAAAAGGTGAGTACACCTTTATATTCTGTTGGAATTGACTTCATGAACACAATATGTCTTTTGATAAAGACACTCATTCTTCATTGCCCGGATGCTGATGAGGGCACAGTGAGGGAGGATGGGGCAATGCCCAGAGGGAAATGACATCTACCAGGATCTATGTCTTTAATAATCGGAGGAGGTACTGTAGGGAAATGGATGGCTGACATGAGACAATTAGAAACATATTTTATTTTGGAACAGACAGGTACTCTCTGATTGGTGGATCTCTGGAAATTAACACAAATTGTGTCATGAATATGCCTTGCTGGATGAAGGCGTCTTCTGAAAAGCCAAGCACAAAGAGTTTTCAGACAAAAAGGCATAGCAAGCAACTGTCAAAACACAGTGCCATGTTGAATACCATCAGCTTCCGTCCATCTGCTGTCTCAAAAAAACCTAGCTTCTCTCTTGCATTCCAGGGATGCTGACAGAAGAGGAGAGCCAGATTCCAGCACAGTAAGTTTATGTTTTATTATTTTGGACATCACGGTGGAAAACTTCAACATTCTCTCGGCTTTCACATCTACTGAATCTACAAGGTTTCATACTGTTTGCTTTTCTTTTGAAGTGTTTTGGGTAGAGAGTTGCCAGATTTAGCAAATAAAAATACAGGCTTTCCCATTAAATTTAAATCTCAGATCAACAACAAACATATTTTGAGCATCAGTAGGGGACATACAACATTCAGGACATACTTTTATTAAAGTGTCTGTTGTTTCTCTGGAATTCAAATTTAACTGGGTGTCCTATGTTACATCTCACTACCCTATTCAGAGGGAAATATTGATACAGAACTGAAATTTCTTAATTAGAAGTGAAAATCCTTCAGCTAACCTAGGAGCAGTGTGGATGTTCATTAACAACATACTTCTGTGTTTCAGAAGTGTTGCTCCTAAAGAAAAAATGAAAATGACTCTGGATAACGTAACATCAGCTACCTGAAGAAGACAGTGGGCAGGGACTCCAGTTTTAGTTTGCACCAGAGTAGCAGAAGTCAGCTTGCTTCTTGCTTCCTTTAAGTGATTGACTGTGAGGAAGGCAATCGTTGTTCAGATACACAGGAATCTACTTAATCTTTCAAATGCTGGTCATGCTCCCCAGATAATGATCCAACACGTGCTTATGTTGCTGCTGCTCAAATTAGTGCGCGCAGGGGTTGTACGAAGTCAGGTTCAGAAGGGAGTTGATGCTCCAACAGGGAGCCGGTCCCTAGACACAGAGGCCAGCACTTTTAATTGATAATGAGCAGACGGAAGAGGAAAATGGGAACCCTGAGGTCTAGTGGAAGAAGTGAAATAATTTACTCAATTTGTTTTCCTGGAAAGGAAGACTTTATGTCAAGAATCTGTAATAAAATTAGCCAAGGCGCTTGACTCCATAAGATGCCTAATCACCTTGCTGGTCTACAGCACCTTTTTCTCTTTATGGGAGCATTTATCAGTTTTTTAATCTCCTTTGTTTGATTAACATTAGAATCAACAACTGTAACATGTGTTAGGTTCCAGTAAAGTGTTGTATTTGCAAACTTATTATGGAAGACAGATTTTTTTTTAGGGCCTTAGCCATAATAGTCTCAAGCCCTAAGTAGCAAACAATGCTTTTATACTTTTATTTTATTAGGAAAAAAAAAAAACACACAAAGAGACAAAATCTGTAGTTATTTAAGAAGGGAAGACACTGCAATAAGTAGTCATCACTGCTCCAACACAGTTTTATAGAGGGAAATATATTATTAAATCTATATTTTTCTGAGTTTCTAATCTTTTTTCCTCTTAGAACATTTATTTAAAAGGAACACAAAATTGATTCTTCTTTGTGAATAACTAATGGCTTAATGATGATCTATTCCAAACAGCAATAGTTTGAATCTATTCATAACAAGTAGTCAGACTTTTGGATGGATCCAAGGCCTTTAGATTCTGCCAAAAATCCTGTGGATTCTAATTCCCAGGTAATAGAGCCGTGGCAGCTCCTGCAAACACTTAATACACCCCAAAATGAATTCGGTGTGATTGGGACTATGGGACACCCCTTCCTACCCAAACCCAGGTCCCATCATCACTTGATTTTCAGGTTTCTCAGTCTCAATGTTATCTCCATCCATCTACTTTAAAAATCTACTTTTCCTAAACACCTTTGTTTCTCCTGCAGTTATCTACAGGGAGTTTCTAAAGGTGAAGCAGTTTTTACTTCTTCATCATCAAAATAAGTGAGGGGGAGAAAGGATACATTCTGTACGCTTTATTATCATTCCTATAAAATGTATACATTTTACAGGAATAATAGCTAACAGTTACGGGACACTTGTCATCTGCCAAGCACCTCTGATGCATTATCTCACTTAACCCTCAAAGTAACCCGGGAAGGCAGTTATTATTGTTCCGTAGGATAGGTGAGGACATCTGCACTCTGAATGGTTAATCCCTTATGTGCATCTATACAATTAAGCAGGTGACAGATTAGGATTCAAACCCAAGGTGCTTTAGTCCAAAGTCTACCCTTAACGCTACTGCTATCCTGTGCATCTTAAATGCAGATAAGGGTTGCAAAGGCCTGGTACACAGGGCGACAGAAAATGTCAGCGCTTTCTCTCCCCACGTGTCAGCGCCAGTCAGTTGTAACCCGCATCCAGAACCTTCTTCGTAGGGGGCCTTGCCTGGGACTACAACTCCCAGGATGCTGCAGGCAGAGAAGCTGGCCAATCAGGGGGCACGGCTTTGCCTTCCCGTGGGCACCCGGCGCCTAACTGTCAGAACCTCGGTGACGGTTGGCAGGGTGGGTAGTGGTGGCTACTAGGTCTTGAAGGAGCCTAATCTGGTTTGGGAAGGTGACAACCGCTGAAATTTCCAGGCTGCCCAAGGCTCCATCTCCACCACCCAGGGGTGGGCAGTGGGCTGGGCTGGCCTCCGCGCTTCACACCCCGCGGGGCCAGGGCCTCTCCCCGGAGTCGGTTGGGCTGAGAAAGGGGCGGTTGGCTGGTGGGTGGGCGGCTGGTGGCTGTCCGAAGGCCGGCTCACTCTGGGGGCATTTTACATTGCCCTAATCCTATCCGCTTGGCAAGAAACCACCAAGAAACTTACTAAGCCCCTAAGGTTCCTTCCAAATCCTGTCTGGGAGGGCGAGGACTGTGGAAACTTCCAGCTGCCTCACACTCCATCTTTAGCCGTCGATTAGGTGGTTCGGCCGCTCACGGCCCCACAGATCTGGGGTGCTTCATGGGCCGCTGGGTCGCTGAGGGCCCCAAAGATTTGGGGCTCCTCCCGGGTGTCTGTTGGGCCAAGAAGGAGGCTGGGCTTTCAGAATAGAACCTGCGGTGCTAACGATGGTTCCCTAGGGCTGAGGGCCTGGGCGGTGTCCTGTGGTGCGGAGATGGCGCCTTAGTAATATCAGGTCTTGAGTCTGCGACATCCTGGCCTCTGGGCCCCCATTCCCTCGTCACCTACAGCCTGGTCTCTGCTTCCCCACTTCTGGTGAATTACAGTTGGAGCAGCCTCTCCTTTCTGGATAGTGGCTCGACCGAGCTCCCTGGGGAGGGCTTGACCCGGCCCTGTCCTTCCTCCAGTCCAGTGCCAGCCACACGCCACTGTGCCCTCACCCCACCCTCCTGCTGGGCACTCGAGGGCCCTGAAGAACCGGACCCCAGAGCGGAGAGAGGCCACTGTCTTGGACTCTAAAACCGTTTAGTTTCTACTATACGTTTTTTTTTTTTTTTTTTTTTTTTTTAACATTTTTCCCCCTCATTGTTGAAGTTCTTTGATTCCACCACTCTACCCCATGTTTAAAATACCGTCTTTCTTTTTTCCTCTAACTTTTTAATTTGGCATGCCCAAGGAACATAGTTGACTTCCCAGAGTATAGGGGATGGGGGGCAGTTGCAGAGTGCATTTTACTCATTAATATCTGGGAAACAAAATCAGTTCTTTCGCAGTGGCTCTGAAGTGAGAGAAATTGGAGAAATTCTCCGTGCTCAGGAAAAGGTAGAGGCAAAGATCGACTTAAAGGTTGGTTTCTTTTCATTATTTTGGACAAGCACCTTGACCCATAACTGCCCACCTCTCACACTGCTGGAATTGTCTATGCCAATTGAGGTTGAGTTTTTCAAGTCATTTTGAGAGAGTGAACAGCTTGAGACTAGCTTCTAGTGAACCACCTCTCTGTATATTTGTATGTGAAACAATTGGTTAAATACAGGTACTGTATAACATAGTAATGTATTAATGTATACATTTCAGTTAACCAAAATTAAAATGCCTGTTACCCACTCTCAAAACTAAAATAGCCATTTGCTGTCCTCTTAGCTAATTATAATTGAATTATCCTCTTAATGAATTATAATCAAATTCTTTTTTTTTTTTTTTTTTTTTTTTTTTTTTTTTGAGACCGAGTTTTGCTGTTGTTGCCCAGGCTGGAGTGCAATGGCGCGATCTCGGCTCACCGCAACCTCCGCCTCCTGGGTTCAAGCAATTCTCTGGCCTCAGCCTCCCGAGGAGCTGGGACTACAGGCATGCACCATCATGCCCAGCTAATTTTTGTATTTTTAGTAGAGACGGGTTTCACCTTGTTGACCAGGATGGTCTCGATCTCTTGACTTCGTGATCCACCCGCCTCGGCCTCCCAAAGTGCTGGGATTACAGGCTTGAGCCACCGCGCCCGGCTTCAAATTCTTTTTTGAGTTTCACTGTGTACTTAAATCTTATGTGGGCCCTGTTATTAAGTTAGAAAAAGACATGGACTTACAGAAAATTAGAGAAGCTCTTAACACAAATGCTAAATTGTAAGGTAGTTTATAAGTGCTGAAGCTTTCTGAAAAGGGGCGTCTTCATTTCCATTGTAAGCCCTATCTTGTGGATATGGTTTGATTAAGGAAAGAACCTCATCCTATGAATTCCAGCTGAAGTTTTCAGTTGGAAAAATATTACATAACACACTGATGCCTTTTGATGTTAGAATTCTAACCATTTAAAAAGATTTGTTTCATAGTTATTTCTGAAATAACAGATTTATAGAAATACTGAAAATGCAAGTTTTTTAAAAAACACATAAATACTGATTTATACATTGTTTCTGTTTTTCTTTTAAAATCAGATGGGTGACACGAGTGTTACTGATCATAAGCTACATGTGGAGAAAATAATTAAAAATATTAATACAATTTCTCTGGAGTTGAAGAAGATAAAAGGTAAGTATTCAATCACTAAAATGTTTGCATATCATTGTTATAAAATAAATAGTAGAGCCAATTTGTGTTTCTGCTGGGGTATAAATGAATTTTACCCACTCATTACGATTTCTCTATTTCTTAAGAAATGTTTGCAATGTAAGTGAACTAGATCTCTAAAGACAGATTATGTTTGACTTTGGAGTTAGCAGACCTGAATTCCCATCCCTGACACTAACAGGCTTATCACTTTGTCTAAGCTCTGTAAATTTTACTTCCCTTTCTTCCCTTCATCACACCATTACAACGCTATATCACATTCTGCAACATTCATTGTCTTTATGAACTCTTACTAAGCCACATGAGGTTCATTCCAAGTTAAAAAGTATAAATTAGATTCTGTGACTTAAAGCTTCTTCATTTTCAGCAGGTTCATATAGTAGGATTCGACCTTATAGGTCATGGTGTTTAGTCACTCGCCTCACAGACATATTCTGTTATTTTATTCCAAGCACATAAAATCACAATTCTGTGACTGAATATTTCTAGGGATAATCTATTCCTGACCAAGCATGTCTTACCTTGGGAAACTTCCTGTCTCACTAGTCAGTCCATTCCATTTTAAACAATTCCTCCTTATGGGCTAGCTGAAATCTTCCCCTATTGCTTTCACCTAAGAGTCCTATTTCTAACCATGAAAACTACACTGAATATGTAGTTTGAGGCCTACAACTATAAGTAACAAAAAGACCAACTTAACTTTTACAATAAGGAAAAACAAGAAGATCCAAGGTAGCTCAGCCCTAAAGTTAATTCAGAGGTTTAAAGGTTTTGTCGGGGACCAGGTTCTTTCCATCTTTCTGCTCTTTCATGTTCACTCTCTTTATCACTTCCCAATGGTCATTACCTTCAGAGGTGGGCGTGTATAGACAGTCTCTTTTTATAAGTCTTTTCCCAGATCCCTCCAGCACATTTCCCTTTCATTGGCCAGATGTGCATCACATGCTGATGCTTACAGCAGCCACAGCCAAGGGGACTGGGACTGCCAAGACTGGTTTGGACCAGTCAGAACTTACTACTGGAGCTGGGGAAAGGAGCACCTCAAATGAAATCAAGCTGTGACACCAAGAAGAAGAGGGCGTGGCCATTAGTTTGGCACCAAATAGTGAGTGCCTATTATACTTTTTTCATGTGTTCTCCTAGGACAGCATTTCCTAGACTTTGATCTGTGAACCCCGCTGTTTCAAAAGATGTTAGTAGATGGTGTACAGTAGAACTGAGTCCATGCTTTTATGGTCAAATAAGTTTGGGAAGTGCTTTATGCTATGTATTTCACAAATTTACAGTGCATATTAACAAAGGCTCTGAAGAGTATGATGTTAAAGAAATCTGACTACCATTAATTCATCATTTCTCAAAACCAGTCTCAACACCACGGTGAAGATTCTTTCTAAAATGCAAATCTGCAGAAAACCTTCATTGGCTCCCCATTGTCCTCAGAATGGACTATATGACCTGTTGAGATCAGGCCCCTCCTTTCCTCTCTAGTCTCTTACTCTGTTCTTCCTGCATGTTCTGTGCTTTAACCATACTGAACTATTTGCATATCCACAAGTGCTCTTCTGTATCTGCTTCAACACATACTTGTCCTGAAATCCCACTGTTATGCCCCACCTCCGCCACACCAGGTTAACTATTAGCAGTCAAGGTCTCTTACATTGGAAAACTTTTTTTGAGCCGGTATGTTATCCCTTCTGCCCTTTCCTATCTACCTGTTATGCTGTTTTATAATTGTGTATTTCCTTACGTTTCTTATCCCTGCTCAACTGTAAGCTCCTTAGGGGTATTTCTAGCACTTAACACTGTGCCTTGATTGCTTCAATTCTTGAAAAATGTTTATTAAGTGAATAAATGGTTTTGGATGCTTGAACTCATTTAAAACAATTAAGAAGCTTTAGATTCCTCCCACACTTGATTATATAATTTTTCTAGTTTGGAGATTATTCTTTCCTGAAATAAAATGTAATAACTCTGATAGATGTTTTCTTGAGGCATTGTTTAGGTAGGTCAGGCAGTTAGGCTCTGAGGGACCTGTAGAGCTACACTCGGGAGATGGACTTCTGGTAAATATAGAGGATTAAATGAACACTCTGTGCACCGTCATTTCCTTCCCTAAATAGTAATGTCATCAGCTAACCCTTATAGCATTTACCATAATCCAGGGATTGTCTAAGAGCTCTACACAAATGAACTCTCTTTATAATAATCCTATGAGGTAGGAACTATTGCCATTGGTATTTACAGATGTGTAAATAAGACGAAGAGATTTAACTTTCTCAAGGTTAAGCAGCTAGTCAGCGGTAGACCTGAGATTCAAATTTAAGTGATTTTTAAAGAGACAAAAATCCACAAGAGATTCCAAGAAGAGATAACAAAACAAAAAACAAATGGAGAAGCAAATAGACAAATCTGAACCCCAAAGTCCAAAAATCTGAACCCCAAGCTGGCTCAGTAAAGCCAAAAATAACCCCTACAACTCAATTCATGGTGGCACCAGAAACTTCTGGAAGTAGGGGTGAAATCTGGATCACAACAGGAGGACTAGTTAAATATTGAAGAATTGTAGTTCCCTAAGGTCTCTTCTGCCCTCTGCATAGCTGGGCAGCTGTCCCTTCACTGTGACAAAAGACTTGAGGTTGAAACGAGTCTTAGGATTTCTACCCTGGAGCCACTAGTCATAGGTTGAGGGAGAGTACTATACGGTAAAGAAGGATGATGAAACAAAGTTTACATATCAAATTATAAGACTTCCGGTTTTTTTTTTTTTTTTTTTCATGGGCTACCAAAATACTGGCAACCAGACTTATACCCTCCATGTAGATTTTCCTTTCGGGAATCTGACCAGCCTAAGATAAAAGATCTAAAGATACTAATAGCAGAAATTATCATAAAATAACCCAGCCAGATCACCCCACATTATTGACTACCACAGGTGCAGAACTTCCAATTGTCTTTTTGGCGACACAGTCTTATTAGCACTAGCTGTATAGCAGTGCTAAGAAGCAATTAGTTCATATCGGAGCAAATCAGAAGGCTCCAGGAGAGGAGAGACATTTAACAATAGAATAGCTAAAGCGTTGAATAAGCCAAGAGGAAATTTACTCAACTGGAGGATATTTGGGATAAATTTCTGATAATGAAGCAATGAAAAAGCCCATTTATTAACTCTGATGGGTTGTGTGCAGGAAGGAATATGTCATAAAACAAGAGTCGGCTGTGAAGAATATTTGTATAATTAATATTTAAACATTAAATACATGAACTAAGCAAAAATTTTTCCCTAAGTATATTGTGAGAGAAGAGGGTGAGTGAAAGAGCTGTATCTTAATCTTCTGTGTCAGGGGCAGGTAACACTGAAAATTGAAAAAAACAATCAAATAAGCATGTCATTTAGCGATATGGAGGTAAACACCACTGCACCCCTTACACCAATAAAAATTCTCAAAACAGACACACCGAAACTACCAAAGCAACAAAAACAAAGTGAGCTAAAAAAATAATAATAATAAAATAAATTAAAAGTGGTTGCCTCTGGGAGATTGGAACTGCAATTTTTTGTAACATGCCTTAAACTTATCTGATTCTTGGGAATATATACATGTATAACTTAGATAAAAATAAGTTAAAACCATATAAGTCAAATTTGTATAAATCAAGTTACAATTTAGCTGAGAAGTTGGGCTAAAGAGCCCCCTTTTAGTAAATTTTTATGCCATGTTTATTTTGTAATACATAAATCTTATTTTAAATTAGAATGGGGCACACTTAAGCTGTGGTTTGATCACTAATCACTTGAAAAACTAAATTAGAAATTAGGAAGAAATAGCTACTTTAAGCAATAATAGTTTTTTATGACATATGTGCTAAAATATAACTTCTGTTTTGTTTTATACAGAGCTCTCCCAGTTATTGCTTTGTGACCTTACCCTACATTTTAATCATCCCATGAAGACTGAGAACTTAACAGAAGCAGAAAGAAACGACCCCCTCTTTGAAGAGGCTGAAATATCAGATGTATCCCTTGTTTCTAACAGTTTTTCTATCTGATTTCTTATTTGTTTGTTGTGAGTTTATTTTTGAATTAACAAATATTTGGGAGAATTGAGTTTACTGATTTGTATATATATAATTTAAAACAAAATTAAAATAATGTTGTAAAGCAGTTTATGTTCTTGAAGGCTGCTGTTTAATGTTTCTCAGAATGGCTTAACTTACCTCCCTGATTGCAAGCGTATGACATAGGAAATTAGCCATGGGTCACTGCTTATCCTTTCGCTTATGCTTGAATTTGGCTCAGGTTGAAAGAGAGCTACTAAATTATTAACTGATGGTATGAGTTTATATTAATCAGAACTCTCCTGTTAGTGAGTGCCAAGCACAACTCAACCAGCTGAAGCATTTGAGTCATGTGAGTTGGAAGTCCATGGTTGCTAGATTTCAGTGACCCCAATAATTCGTCTATCCTTTTACTGTGTTTTTGTATGTTGGCCTCATTCTCTTCTACAGCAGACCGGTTCTTACAGATAATTGGTAAATGGGAGTAGTTGCAGGGCAGCAGACAGCTCCAAGTATATAGCATTGCCTTTTGGGGACCCCAGATAAAAGATCTTGTCTCAGGCTTCATGTGTAACATTCCAGAGAGTGACCCTGACTGACCCAGCTTTAGTAAGATATTTATCACTGAGCAGGATTCTGAGCAACTCCCATTGATGCATCTGGGATCACATACAAGAAAAGAGGCAAGGCCTAGCCAAAAGGAGTTGCCGGTGCTTGAAAGAAAATGCTAGTCATGAAAATATCAGCTTCCCCACGTTGACTTCAGTCATAGCCGTGGAATAGAACATCTTAATTCTAATGGCCCATTCCACCAGGAGACTTAAAATGCATGTTTGATTTATAAACATGATTCACTACCAAATCGTTGCTTTGAAATCTGTCAGGTCCTTTGTTTTACATATTTTTGAACCCTAAGAATAGAATATGGTGAAGCAAGACAAGTGAACTTACTCCATGCGAGAACCTATGGTGTATGCTATCCTGACTCCCTTGCAACTAGCTCACTTGTTTAACACAGAAGAGCCACTAAGTAAATGCTTGCTGAATAGCCTGTTGTATAGACATGTAAATGAATGCAGGGTTTTCAGCCTTAGAACTCCCAAGTTTTGGACCTAAACTGAGAACTTCTGGTTAAGGATGAGATTTTGGGAAACACAATTTTTATCATTAGTTAAAAGTCTCTTCATTCCATATACTCCTTATCTTAGCCTATCATGAGTTTTAAACTGGTGACTTCTTAGATTCCTTCCAATATTCTTTTTATTGGTTCGTGAAAATGAAGATGCAAGATATTCTTCTCCATTCCGAAAACTTGTAGATTAAACAGAAATGCCAAAAATTGTTGCTAATAAAAGTTGTTCAATAATAACCAAGGTCCCAATGGGAAAAATTTGAAAAACAACTGATTGTCACTGTTTGGCTGAATACTAGTTTTTTAATCTGGCTGAATGCCTATACTTTTTGTTAAGTGAGATTTGTAAACTAAAAGAAAGAGCTGAATTACTTCAAAGCACTTATACAGCCTGTTTGGAAAGGATGAGGAGAAGGGGCTTTATGGCAGAGCTGTCAGGGGGATGACAAGAGATTGAAGAGCCATATCAAATAGGAAAGTCTGAACAAATTTAAAGTGTTGCTCCCTTGTCTTCCCAGGAGGCCTTTGGTAAAATCTATATCCCTGGACAATGTTTTTGGGGTTGGGGGAAGGTGGGGGTGTGTGTGATGTTGCTGTGGGTGTGGGGATGTGAAGAAATGCCAACTTAACCCCAGATGTGTTAATGAAACCTACATCCACAATCCACCAAAGTCTCATCCATAAATTGAAAATGTTTTCTTTTGCTATTTGTAGTTTAAATTTTTTTAAGACAAAAATATAACAGTATGGACTAAAAGTCAATAAAGTTGTTTTAGGAAACCAAAAAATTAAAGCAAAAGACTTTTAATCCCAGAAGTTATCTCAACATGCATTTATCTTTTCATAAAAAATTACATAAAAATTCCCCCAGGAAAGAATACCAAATAAGTAAGAATAAAATTGTATTTTTGAAGGCTCTTAAATTATTGCTGCTGAGAAAATGAGGTTTAGTCATTTTCAAATTACATGTATAAAACTAATGAATGCCTCTGACTGACAGAGGTTTGGCTGTAAAAACAAATCAGTTTTATGTGATGCCAATAACTGTTACTGTTTCAGTGTTTTAAAACTTGCCCCAAATTGTTTCTGTAGCTGTGTAAACTACTGTATTTTGAAATGGATATTAAAAAAATACACAACTTTAAAAAAGTGAATTATTACAGTGCACTACTAGACTTCAAGTGTGAACATTACTCATGCACTTTACAAACATTGAAGAAGAATAAATAAATTATGGGAATTTGACAGTCTTCATTTCAAACACTGTTTTTAAAGGAAAGGATAATACCCTTGTGTTCATGGGGAAGGGTTAAACTCAGTCCTAAGTGTTTATCCGTTGACCAAAGCTGATTGATCTCGTGTTGGCAACAGAGGCAGGAGGATGGTTCATTTGCTCAGCTACAACTTGCTATGGGTATCCTGCAGCATGCGTTAATGTGCACTGGTATCTGGAACCTCGGTTTTTCCCATCAATGAGCAGAAGTGGCATTTTCCTGAAGTAGTCAATAATATCTGACACAGACAGAAAGTCCTGAAAGAGTCAAGATAGGGAGATGAGTCAGCATTGGAATGAAAAGCATGAACTTCACCCTCAGTTTTTTTAATCTGTATAATATATCCTGCCTCTTCATGTTATGAGGATTGTGGGAAAAGTGTGTAAAATGTGGCAAGTAGTTTAATGATTTCTGCCATAGAACTTTGAAAAAAATTCCTCACAGACATCCAACAAACCATGGATAAAAGATAAAATAAGGGCTGGGCATGGTGACTCATGCCTGTAATCCCAGCACTTTGGTAGGCCAAGGTGGATGGATCACCTGAGGTCAGGAGTTTGAGACCAGACTGACCAACATGGTGAAACCCTGTCTCTACTAAAAAATACAAAAAAAATTCAGCTGGGTGTGGTGGTGTGCACCTGTAATCCCAGCTGCTTGGGAGGCTGAGGCAGGAGAATTGCTTGAACCCAGGAGGTGGAGGTTGCGGTAAGCCAAGATGGCACCATTGTACTCCAGCCTGGATGAGAAGAGGGAAACTCCATCTTGAAAAAAAAGATAAAATGTATATGTGTGTGTGTGTGTGCATGTATGTGTGTGTGTTATGTAATTTGAAATGCATATATTTTTAACTTCCTATGGCGGGGTCATTTAAATAGTCATGATTACAGTATCCTTGCCACAGGGTTGCTCTGTTTTTGGTTTTGGTTTTGGTTTCAGTTTCTGTATCTCTATTTCACCCCCAGTCATTAATATTATTAGGAGGTATAAGGACTCAGGAGGTCAGACACAGTTCACGGTGTCCAGAGGTAGGATCTGCAGCATAGCACAGGAGTTCCTTCGTGAACTCTCTGCTGTGTCCTCACTGCCACCTCCACACTCATAAGGGCTCAGCAGCCAAGTCTTTGCATCCATAGCCTGGATCACCCCAGCCTTGATTGCTAGAGAGGGAAAGGCCTAATTCAACTTTCTGGACATGGGTCACAACTCACATAGGAACCCTAATGGGATAATGCACTTCCTTTAAGACTAATCTGCTAGGTGCCTCCCTCCATGGCAGCTGCAATGAGTCCTCTGTACTTGTGTGTTTCCATGCTGGACCAAGATAAAGCTTGAAGGGCAAATACCTCTGCTTCTACAGGGTCTGTGCAGCTCTATCCACTGCCAAATGGTCAAATGATTCAATGATTCAAATGATTCAAACATTTGACCATAAGCATGCACTATTCTCTACTCATTAACATTATCATAACAAAAGCAGGTGAATCAGAAGTTATGGGAAAGCAGTTTCTCATTCTGGACATGTTTCATTGAGCTGGTCCTCCTTTTGGAACTTTGAACTTGGAGTATCTTTGGGGCATTACCTTCAGTTGTTAGTTTCCTTTGCAGAAAACCAGCCCTGAGGGTTTCTTTCTATCCGTTCTGATTACCACTCAAAAAGTGACTAGCATAAGAATCTAAACCTCAGCCTGAGAAGAATTTCTTTGGCAACCTGGTCATCTTCATGGGGCTAACCCTCCATTTTGTTAAGAAATGAGCCAAGTTATTGGAATAATCACCACAGCAAGTATTCTGATTTGTCCCCTTTTCCAGTGGTGTCAACTTAAAATGCAGCCTACATTAAAATTATGTCACAGAGGTGAATAATAGCAGGAAATTGCCTTTGACAACTCTAAATAGATTTTTTAAAGTTAATTTACATTTTCCTGATTTTAAAAGTTATACATGTGATTATTTGGAATAAAAGATATACAGGAAAGAATCCTATGGCAGAAGTAACTATTGTAAACATTTTGCTTTATTTCTCTTCCCATAAATGAAGGACTTCACTAATGTGATTTAACTCTAAATTCGCCATACAGCCTGGAATCCCAAAGATTCCTCCATGAAAAGATGCAGAGAGGCATAAATGAAGATTTTGGGGAAATGTTGAAATTTAAAATCCTTACCTCTTTCCCTCGGAGTCCAGTTCCCAACAAGTAAACTTGACTTTCCTGCTGGTAACGGATCTGGATGTTGTAAACTTTATCTTTGTACAACACCATGAGGACATATGGATTGGTTATTGTTTTTTTAGAGCTGTCTCTAACCAGAAAAGTGCCATCCTGAAAGGATAAATTCCTGTTATTACGAGAGCAGGGAAAGTCAGTATTTTTGTTGCTTGTAACAGTAGTAGGCAAGCCTCTAGGGATCTGACAAATCTGTCAGTTGCAGTTTGCAGCTTCTTGACTGCAAAAGCTGTCATTCAACGAACATTCAGTTCTCCAAACAGCTACAGATTCCATGTGTCACGAGTTTTTTTGTTATCAAGAAAGGCAACAGAGATTGTATCAGAGAAATTTCCAAATCAATCTCGTTAAAGTCTCTTGATAAAAAAAGGAATCTTTTGTTCAATAATAAATAATGGGTGCTTGAGTGAATAAAAGGCCAGGAGAAATAACAAACTTTATTGGTTAACTCAAGATATATCTTCCTACTATTCCTGTGAGTTAATTCCCTAACCTTTCTTTTCCAAATCCAAAGTCAGAAAACACCCAAATGCCATGAAATTCACCATTTTTACAATCTTGTGGTCTCTAGGTAGTCTTTCCTTCATCAGACACTTGACCAAAATTGAATGCAAATGTTCCTCTTTTCTTATCTTTTTTCTGGTATTTGCTAAACTACTGTTTTGACTGTTCTGTACTTTAAATTTCCATTCAATAAATTATTGCTACATAATATTTAATACTACAAAAATCTAATATTAAAATAAAATTAATTAGTAAGGACTCCTTTAAACTACTCCCTTCTCCTCAAACCAAAACAGAATAGCTTTAAATAGCCATGAGTTGGCAGTACCGGCTTTCCTCTGTTCCTTTTATTCCAAGTTAATTGAGCCTGTCGGAACATTTCTGCTAAACAAACACACTTCTGGACCAGTGATTCACAGTCTTGGCTTCAAATCAGAATTACCTGGGAAGTTTTGAAGACTCCCAGAGCTGATACAGAACTCCAGAATAATTAGAATCTCCAGGTGAGACCCAGGAATCAGGATTTTTCAAGAGCTCTCCAGGTGATTTAAATGTGCAACTACTACTGAGAAATGCTGAAGAGTTTAAATGTGAAAGATGAAGGATCTTTGCTTTCCCATTTCTGATCAATAAATTTAAGGTAAAGTTTCAGGACTGGCTACGAGAAATATGTTTAACACCTTATGCTATTAAAAGACTAGCTAGAAATGTCTAGGACAAAAAGCAAAAAGTTGCTGCTGTCTCTTTAATATCGGTCCTGTCACATCGATGTGGATGGCACATCTGTGTTAAGAGGAAGCTAGAGCTGGTATGATGTTGAAGCTTTGGGGGAAAGAGAGTCTCCTTCTGACACCATATGATTCCCATGACAAGACAGACTTTTTTGTCAATAAAATCTCCTGAGATTCCGCCAACCAAATGACTGCCTTAACTTAGATTCTTCTGCCAGCTGAATGATTCCTGAGCCTAGGAATCCCTGCTATGGGTGCTGGTAGTTGTGAAGCTGACACTAATGGGTCTCCTAGGTCTTACAGTTAGCAACAACACCTAGAAGAATTCCTAGCCCGTAACTGGTACTCAGGACAAGTCCGTTCCCTTCTTCCGTCATGAATATTTATAACTATGTTAAAATAAACGATAGCACAATACCTGGTTTATCTTTCTAAGAGCAGCTTCTGCCTCTGGTCGGGTAATATAAGAAACGTACCACTCTTCATTTAATGAATTCTGAAAATGTAAATTTTTAGAAACTGAATAAATTTTACAGTTACATATGTAAGTGAAAAGAAAGGCCTCTGGGTAATCATTTCCATAAATCACCACCTCAATTCCAGGAGGTTGGAAACATTTGTTTTCTTAATTTGCATAGAGAGTCATTTAGTTGGGCTAAATAGAAGATGTTTTGTGTGAACTGCTTTTCATCATGACACTGGTTACAAAAGTACCTGTGAATAAGTGTTCCTTACAGTATGGAACTTCTAATCAGAAAAGATACACATACAGTAATTTCTTCAGTTTAGCATAATAACCTGCTTGATTAAAAAAAAAACTGGGTGAACGAGCAGTTAAGTGACTAATCAAGGTCATAAAGTAGAAAACTTAAAAAGCAGGATTATTTTTCTCTCTATTTATGCAAAACACACGTTTGTCATTGCAAGAGTCTGAACAAACACCAAGGAAAAAGAACATATTGTTCATCTGGATCTTCTCCTTTAACTTTTTTTCCCAATAAATAAAATAAAAGTAAAGAAGAAGATAAAAGTACAGAAAAACATTCCATGGGAGTTTCTGGTGATTCTTTTACCAGGGGAAAAGCAAACAAACAAAAATAAAAACGTATGCTCTCTTACCTCTTCTTCCTCAGGGGATGGGGGCCGAGGTTTATTTGGAAGTGGCAAGGGGATGTTTCTGCCTTCGGCTCTGAGAGGTGGTCTGTTGCTAGGGCCTTGAAAAGTATAGAATTGTGAAAGTTAGTTTACTGTAACCTAACTTCGGTTTTACTTTTATCAAAACACATTTTCCCTCAAAAAATATCCTTGCGATTGTTCCAATAGTTAGCATTTTAAGAAACCAGGGCTTCAAAAATAATTTTCATCTGTTTGGAACCATGAAGGCTGCTCAGACATTATTCTGTAATCATGCCAGTAAAACTTTGAGAAGAGAACCTCAATTTTGAGTGACTTTCTAGATGTGCATGTTACATAATATAAAGTGACTAGATCCCTTTATAAAAAATTCACAATTGTTTTAATGAATGTGAACATCAAAACGAATCTTCGAGAGACAAATCCTTCACAGATTCCTATCATATCAGCACAGGCAGAATGGATTCCCAACAGCTGATGTAGAGACAAGGCAGTCATGAAGATAATTATGTTCTTAATGTTTCCTCAAAAAGAAATGTAAGGGACCCAAGAGAAGATGAAATTACCTTGAGAATATTGTTAGCTTTTAGGATCAAAGTTTGCTCCCTGCTGTTCTAACTAAATAGGTAGAACTGTTCAACTCACATAAAAGGCACTGGGCAGGTGGGGTGACTCACACCTGTAATCTCAGCCCTTTGGGAGGCCAAGGTGGCGAGATCAGCTGAGGTTGGGAATTGGGATCACCTGACCAACATGGTGAAATCCTGTCTCTACCAAAAATTCAAAATTAACTGGACATGGTGGCAAATGCCTGTAATCCCAGCTACTCGGGAGGCTGAGGCAGGAGAATCGCTTGTATCTGAAAGGTGGAGGTTGCAGTGAGCAGAGATCGTGCCACTGCACTCCAGCCTGGGCAACAGAGTGAGACTCCGTCTCAAAAAATAATAATAATAATGATAAAAAAAGTCACTACAGATCAGGACACCTGATTTGTTTTTGTTGGGCACCTATAAACTATCCAGCACTTGTGCCTCCTCTTCTGTAAAGCCCTTTTTTCTCATTTACAGTTCCTTGAAACTTTAGGAGAATGTTTCTTAATCTCAGGAAAGGTTTAGTTGTGTTTATTGCAGTTGCCCAGGCTGTTTTCTATGTGCCAGGCTGTAGTTAAAAACAGAAAAATTCTGTGAGTTGAATGTTCTCTTAATGATTCATCCATCATTCATTCACGTATTTATTCAGCACCACTTTATTTATTCACCAAATATTTATTCAGCACAACTCTGTCCAGATCTTGAGTAAGGTACTGTGTGTACATTTTTTTTTAAATCCTCACAGCAACACTACAAGGTAGGTATTCATTTTGCATATGGGGAAATACAGGCTCAGAGGCTAAGCAAATCATATGTTATCAGTGGCAAACCCAAGACTTAAATCTGTGGTTACCAAATGTTACTGTGCATGAGTCAGAATCGCTGGGGGACTTTTGAGCACCTAGGGCCGAGAAATCTGCAGGTTAGCAAATACCTCCACTGGTTCTAGAACCAGGGATTGTCACTACGTCTACCTTGTTATACCACTGAGGAGAGGAGAGTCACCTGGAAGGGCTAGAGTCTCCTGAGCCACATCACCAGGATTATTTAAGATGGTCCTTCCCTGTTGCTAAGTAAGTCTCCTGAGCCACATACCAGGATTATTTAAGATGATCCTTCCTTGTTTCTGAACAAGCTGGCCCTGAGCTGCCAGTGCCTTCCTTACCCAAATTCCCAATGCCTAGGCAGACCTTCCCCACCCCCATTTTTTTGCAGTACAACACTTGCACTTTTACAATGCTTGTTGAATGAATGAAACTTAAAAATACAGGAGAGTAACAGAACCAAGGCCCATATTGCATGGCTGTTCTACAGTTGAGGAATGATTCTCTTTCTGCCTCTGCACCTGCAGGCCAGCATCACAGAGTCATAATTCACAACAGAGCAGCACATACACACTTTTTTACTGTAGTCACCTACCATCCTTAATATCTAGACTCTCAGGGAAGTCGTGATAGAGTTTTGGACAATGCTCAACATGACCTTTACCCTTCTGATGCTGGAGCAACCAACCAGTGGAGAAGACTAAGGACCAGGTGTCCTGGCAGTCTTAGGGGAAAAGAGGTCAATTTGGATTAAGCTAGTGTTCCAAAAATCATGAACTATTTGCATTAATAAGCCCCATCATGGACTCATAAAGCAGGAGATCTGTGGAACTTGCTTTGAAAATCTTGCTATGATGTGTCTGGAACTCAGATGGCTACAGAGGCAAGGAGGTAACACAAATGAGTGTTTGCAAAACATAGTGAGTTCTGGGGATTGTGAAAAATTAGGAGTTGGATGGGAAACTGTGAAAACCATGTGGTGAATGTGGACACCATAACCTCAAATGCTTAGAAGACATTGAAAACTTAGTGTGTGCCCCTGGTGTCAGCAGTTGGATCTCACCCATCTAAAGGAATGATGCATTCAACTGAATACCCTAGATGTGCTATTTGAAAAAATGTTTATTCCCAGGCTACAATGCAAATGTATTAATATAGTTTTCTACTTAACACACGCCGGCATTTCTGCACAAGGAACATGACTGCAAAAAAAGTGGCTTTTTTGTTGTTCTTTACAGCATTTTTAAAAAATTTAAGTCAACATTTAAAAATGGAATAATTTCACTTTTCTTGAGAAAAAGATTGGAAAATCTGGCAATGCTAAAGCAGTTTCCTGGAATGGTAAAGATCTATTTACTAGAGTTGGGTAACTTTCCACAGCCATTTGATGCTCAGTCACTCAACAAGCTTTTTATTTATTTATTTATTTTGAGGTGGAATCTCACTCTGTCACCCAGGCTAGAGTGCAGTGGTGCAATCTTGGCTTACTGCAATCTCTACCTCCTGGGTTCAAGTGATTCTCCTGCCTAGCCTGCTGAGTAGCTGGGATTAAAGGCGTGTGCCACCATGCCCAGCTAAGTTTTTTTGTGTTTTTAGTAGACTCGGGGTTTCACCATGTTGGTCAGGCTGGTCTCGAACTCCTGACCTCCTGATCTGACTGCCTCAGCCTCCCAAAGTGCTGGGATTACAGGCATGAGCCACAATGTCCAGCCTCAACCAGCATTTTAAAGTGCCTACCAAATGCCTGTTACTTGCAAGTCTTTAAGGATAAAAAACAAATCAGTCCTGCCCTGAGGCCTTTCAAAGTGGTCCATGAACCAGGATTAACAGCACCACATGGAACATGTTAGAAATTCAGGAACTAAGGTCTCACCCCAGACCTCCTGAATTAGAATCTGCATGTTAACACATTTTCCAGGTGATTTGTACGCTCGTTCAATTTGCAGAACGCTCTAAGTACACACTTATCATGGACACGGTATTATTAAAAATATGGGCCCCTGACTTCACTCCAGACTTACTGAATCAAAATCTTTGATTCTGTAAGAGATTCAGTTCTTAGTCTGTATTTTACACATGCTTCCCGACTCACAACAATGGACAGATTGATCATGGAAATATACAACTGCAGAGAAAGCCAAGCACGATTCTGAGGTCTGTAAGGAAACAGTAGCAGGAGGAATAGCTCTGCCTGGGAAGATTGGGGATGAGAGCTGGCTTCCTGATGAAGTGTCTATAGGTGTGTCCGTGTGTGTATGCGTGTATGCATATGCATGTGTGTGCATGTACTGTGCATGTGTATACGTGTGTGTACGTGTATATGTGTATGCATGTGTGTGCATGTATATGTGCGTGCGTGTGTGTGTGTGTGTGTGTGTGTGTGTGTGTGTGTTGTGTTTTAGGTACTATCCTATCATTCCTACAGCCCTTGGCACACTGCAGACACTGAATTAAATGTTGAATGAGGAAATCAGATTCTTTTAGGAAACAGCAAAACCCTTGTCAAAATCTTTTGGGACAGGTTAGGGATCCAGTCATAACGGCATGTTGGCTGAAGCGGGTCACAAAAGCCCAGAGTACAAACCTTGAGAGAAGTATGGCGGCAGGGACGCACTCTGTGGAAAACTGCTGTTACTGAGGAGACAGAGAAAGATCGAGATTTTAGTTGGATTGGGGTGATGGGGCCAGACAGGGGAGCTGGGTTAGGGAAGCCAGACTGCAAATGCCTCTTGATTTGGTATCACTTCCCCTGCTGCCCCCTAATTCATGGGGGCTGGTCACAGGGAGGGAACTTCCCTACATCCCATGGTGGACCGTGCCAAAGTCTAACAAGCTTTATAAAGCAGAACAACAACAGCATTCAACTGTATAGAGGGCACTTAAAAGTCACTTTAAAAATTGGCTGCAACTTGAGCTCTTTGAGTTTGGAGAATACAGAAGTCCTCTGAGAAGAGGAAAGTATATTAATGGGCATGTGTTTTTGTGAGCAGTGAATCCCCAAGGCTTAAGGTCCGCAAGGAGACAGCAGGCCAGGTGAGAAGCGAGGAAGCGCTCGGTGGGCTCTGCAGCAGAAGGTAACAGCATTTGCAGGGCTGGGGTGGGGAGGCGGGCCCGGGCGGGGGGTGGGGGGCCCTGAAATGCTTTCTATTCCCTCCACACTGAGCAGCAATTCCCACACCCATCAGTCCAAACCATCAGAAAGTCTGTTCCGCACAGCAACCTTATGCTAGTGGGATTGTGTGCGAAGGAAGGATGGGGTTGGGGCTTAGCGTGGTGGAAAGCAGCAGGAGAGTCAGCAGACAGGGCAGCAGAAGCCAGCAGGAAGAGTGAAAAGAGCAGCAGAAACTCAGGGCCAGAGGGTGCCAGGGTGGAAGAAACACTGTGAGCATCCTGCTAGGAGTTGGTGGGGTTGGATGAATCTTGTGGGTGGTTGAGTTTTCTACAGTATTAGGGGAGGGTCTTGGGCTTCTCTGCTTGAATATTAAGGGAGAAGGTGAGCCTACATGGCTGGAGGACTTCGGGGACACCACAGGCTGCCCGTGGACTTGCTTGGGGACAATGACTGGCCTTTCTCCTGTTCATGCCTCTGCCCCTGGACAACCTCATACCAGTCCTGAGAAACACAGCTGCTACTGAGAAAACAGATGTGCTAGGACAGAGACCAGTGAATTCTCAGCATCTGCCAAGCACAAGGCGCATTTTCTCAGTCTTCCCAGCCAAGATGCAGATGAACTTCAAGTATTTAAACTAACCTGGGTTTCTTAAATATGGTTGCTTGTTTGAACTCATAAAGTGAAAATATTCTTCATTTTCTTTTTTTTTTTGAGACAGTCTTGCTCAGGCGCCAGGCTGGAATGCAGTGGCATGATCTAGGCTCACTGCAACCTCCGCCTCCCGGGTTCAAGCAATTCTGCCTCAGCCTCCCCAGTAGCTGGGACTACAGGTGAGCGCCACCATGACCAGCTGATTTTTGTATGTTTTTAGTAGAGACGGGGTTTCACCATGTGGGCCAAGATGGTCTCAATCTCTTGACCTTGTGATCTGCCCGCCTCAGCCTCCCAAAGTGCTGGGATTACAGGCGTGAGCCACCATGCCTGGCCCATATTCTTCATTTTCTACCAAAAGGCCCATTCTACCTAGAGGGATCAAGGAGAAAGTCAATTCCTCACCCCTCTCACCTCAAGCAGAGACTCAGTGGACCGTGGTGGATTAATACATTGTTCTAAATGCTCAGCTTGGTTTTATGTCTTAAGACCCAAAATGTTCAGACCCTACTCATTTCCTTCTTCCTCAACACACCCGGCATTACTTCAGTACTGGATAGACCTAGATATTATATTAAGCTAGAATTTCATGACAGAGCCACAAACCTTTCTGAGAATGCTCCAGACATGTGAGAGGATGGGAGGGAGTGCTTGGGGCTTGGCTTAGTAGATCTCGAAGGGAAAGTGTTGGAGCTCATAGGAAGTAGTGCTGGTTGGGGCAAAGGCCTCTGATGCACTGTGCAGAAGTAGAAAACAATGAATGAAATTGTCAGGCCCCGTCGTCACTAAGGAACATTCCATAGCTGGCCCCCTCCCCGCCCAGCTGGAAACAGCTATCATAAAGAAGACACAAAAATCCAACACATCAGACAGAATTAGGAAGTGGTAAAGTGGAATCTTGTGCCCAGGGTGTTTCTACATGACTTAACTACCATAGAATCTACTTACAAAATGGTGCAGATCTAGATAATACCCTAAAAAAAAACTTATTTTGTTTTTCATTTTTTGAAATGTTAACTTGGCAGAAAATTGTCGGCTGGAAACCTTATACATTTCAGAAATTATTTATAAGTCTTGTTTTATGAAAGTCAAAGTTTTATGCTATCTCATTCATTGGCAGTTACTGATTCTTTACCCATGTGTGTTGGAAGACATAAACGTGGGAAATTTTTCTATCAAACCATGCATGCAATTTTACCATTTGTGATCTGATTAAGTAATCTACATTGTTACACATGAATTTAGTATTCCTTGGTAATCCAACCAAGTAATTCCATTTTATTATAGTTATGCAGCATGCCAATTGATATGTCTATTTAATAGTAATTTAAGAGTTATAATTGATTCTATGGGGTTCCTGTACTAAACAATTCCATTTGAATCCCTGAGCAGGAAAATGAAAGAATGAGTTATAAGCTGTAAAAATGTGTTTCTGAACATACCGTCATCTTCATTCTGGAAAGGGGAAGAAAAAAGAAGCCATTAAGCTATCATCAAAATACAATTCTTAAAAGAAAAACTGCATTTCCCAGTCAAATAAGGGTCTGTTTCTTTCTTTGGCAGTTATGCATCCTCATAATCAATATACTGTAGAGAATAATAGAACTCCCTAGTGGTTTATGATTTCTTAATGCAAAATCATCTAAGGGCATTCCAGTCCGAGACTCTTCTCACATACTTAGCATGAGATAGATTCTGAGGTGTCTAAAAGGGCTCAAAGATATAATAATATCGACAATATCTGCAATGTGTCCAAAAGATTCACACACAAGATTTTATTCAGTTCCCTCAGTGACCCTTCAAGAACGTAACAGCCTCGTTTTACAAAAAGCATGATGCTGAGGAAAGATTCTTAGCTCGCCAGGAGTTGCAGAGATGGATTCAACCCCAGATACGTCTGACCAAAGCTCAGCCTTCTTTTTGGCTCTCTTTTTCAATGGCCACTCTTCTTAAGAGCAATAAGACCTTATTTATATGGCAGCTTACAAGGTTCATCTACAACCCTCACCATTTTTATCTTCAGAGCAAATTTGTTAGACAAGGGAAGGGCTATTTTCTCTTCTGCTCGGATAAGAAATGAGCTTCAAAGAGACAAAATGATTTTGCCACCAACTGGTAAGGACCAATTTGAACTTGTTTAGTTGGGCCAGATCTGTAGTGATGAAATAGCATCTTTCTCAGAGTGTTGTTATAAGGATTAAATTAGATACTACTTGTGCCTGGCTTATGTTAGGTGCTCTTTAATAAAAGTTTGCCATCATTAATCCTACCACACACTGAGATATGGCAAAAAAGACCACAGTCAAAATCATTCATCCCACTAGCCAACTGGGAGTCCCAGCAAAGAGCTGCATAAATAAACACACATGGGCTCACAAACCCCCAGCGACAAAATCATTCTTCAACACTATTGCAACCATGTAACCTCTGGTTCCAGAAAATACAACTCCCAGATTCTCATGAGCACAAGTCAATCCTTCCAGAGACCAGGAACCTGGCATGTGATATTATTGTGCCTGTCCAGCCTTACCTTCACCTTGTCCCTATCTCTACAGCCAAGTTGTTCGTCTCACTGTCCCAGTAGCCTCCATGGCCACTGGCATCCCCATGCTCAGAATACTGAGGGGAATGCCCCTGGGCTTTCTTTAAGAATGACTCTATCCTGTGTCTTCCCTATCATTCAATGACCAGCATAAATCTCACCTCCTCTAGGAAGTCACCATTGGCTCCTTGGCCCACACGGGACACTTACTTCCCTCAGCCCCACAGAGCATCCCATGATTGCATGCTGTCTGGCACGTGGGGTTGTGGGTGCACCTGCCTCCATAAGATCTCAGCACTTTATTGGAACAAGCACAGCATCTAGCACAGAGTTCAGAAATAGGAGGGGTTTGTGGGCTAAGCCCTTGAATGAGAGCAGGGGTCTGATGGCCGTCAGAGGGCTTCTGGTATAGAGAAACTCAGACAGATCTGGGTTCAGATATTGGCTATTTATAAGCATGCAATTTGCAAAGAGAATCTTATTCCTTCTAAGCCTCAATTTCCTCTTCATAAAAAAGATGATTCCTTATAGGCTCATTATATTCATATTAAAGCGAGTAATATCCAACTCTCCTGGTTTTCCTGGGATGGAGGGAGTTCTTGGGACACGGGACTTTCCATTGCTAAAACTGGGAGCATCCCGCACAAACAGGGACAGTGGTCATAGTTAAGTAGAGTGGCAAAGTGCACATGGTAAGCATTCAAGAAATGCTCTTTCTTCATTTTTCAGGTTGTGGAAGTATTGAAAAGGAAAACAGTAGCTTAGGAAAGGTAGGCATGGCCCAAACTTCTGGGCATCCCTTACTTCATCCTCTTCCTCTCCCTGCACCCTCTGCTAATTACCAGCCCCTGGTAATGGGATTGCAATTAACCCAGCCACCCTGGGAGCTCTTAGAGGGACACAGCTAAACAACACAGCATGGTGGGCTCCAGACAGTGACCAAGGCCCAAAGACAAAGGCATCAGCCCTCCAGAGTCCCCTGGGTGCAAGCCCTGCTCCAGGTGCTGGACCAAGGCCAAGATGGGTGGACGCCCAACCTCCTCAGAGCCTATGCTGCTTTTCCCTGTGTCAGGCACTTACAAAATGAAATTTTATACTTACATTCTCTCTTCGGTCTGGTCCCCATCCATGCCTGAAATGAATTAGGGCAAAGAAAAAGAACTGAGCATAACGAGTTTCAAAGAGCCAGCCTCAGATACAGTTTGCTTCATTGAATAATGAGAAATCGAACCCACTGAGCCCAGGGAAGATTGGAAGCAACAAACCCCTGCACAGCAGGGAGAAGGGCTGGAAGGGAGATTTAGTTACTCAATGTTCTGTCATCATTGCACGCTGAGCTAGGCAAACCTTTATTCTGTGTAGCTAATGCAGCAAATAATTATAAATATATATACATGGTTTAGTCAGCAAACTAACTCTTTAGTAGTTATTACATTTTACTGAGCTGTTGTTTCTCCCAAGAAATGAAAACATTTTAGGTAATCTCCCTTGCTGTTGTTTCAAAACAGCCCTCTCGGAGCGCACCCTGGTGTAAAGAGAAGACAATTAGAAAGCATTGCTGCTTTGGGACTGTTCCAAAGGGGGCGTGGTACGCTTTGACCAGATGAATGAACTTGTCAAGCAGGTCTGGGCACAGCTGCCTTAGAGCTGCGTCAGGCATCTGCCCTGCCTGGGCCGGATCATGTTCTCTTTGGGGAGGGGAAGAGCAGGACAGTTTGTTGAGCACCTCCTCTGTGTCTGATGCTTCACACATCATCATCTCATCCTGTGTTCATTTAAAATGGTGGAATTTTGTTCCTTATGAGTTTGTTGCACTAATTTTAACTTTTAAAAACATTATACTAAAATGTTATCAAACTCCATGACTGAGGTTTTTTGGCACACTTTAGTTCTGGCCCTAATTTACTCCTCAAAACAGCCAAGCAAGGGTGATAGTTATGACCCCTGATTCACAAATGAGACGGAAGCCTTGGTTATATCCTCTGTAAGTAGCAGGGTTGGCCTTGACCCCAGGTACATGTGCGCCATTTGGTAAATAGGCTGAAAACTACTTTATAGCAAAGTTAAAAATACTAAGGCAGAGCTCAGTATTCTGCAATTATAAAATGTGGTTAAGCAGTAAGAAAGACACTTGCTGTGACCTAAAAATCTTCCCTAATCATTTCCTCTCTGCAACCTGCATTCTAAAATAAAATGGTAAGTACAGTTCCTATGAACTGTGAAGGCTTTGCTATAACGAGGTAGGAAAACTCAATAAAATATTTGACTGGCATCTCCACAAACAGTAGTTATCCCATACCCTTGATTAGATGCTGCCCTATTCATTTCTTAGTAGAGTTAATTTCCTTCAAAGAGACCCTGATCCTTGACAGCCAACCTTGAAGCCTGAACATCCCTCAAGCCACAGCAAGAAAAGGCCCGCCCTGCCCAGGCGCTCCGAGGAGCCTCGGTTCCCACTGCAGAGTCCGCAGTGGACAGGCTGTCTGTTGGCCACTCTGAATGACAAGCTCAAGCAATAGCAGACAGTTACTTTGGCACAGGTGGCTTCTTCCCTGGCAAGGGGCTGCTTCTTTCATGTCTTTCCGTGGTTGGTGGTAAAGGAGGCTTTTGCATCTTGGGTAAATGCTCCCCGAGAGGCCTGTGGAGTTCAGGAAAAGGATGTGTGAGAAACAAACTTTGCGGAGGCAGAGTTCTACAGAGTGTCCCGGGTACCCTCATGTGGATGCAACAGTCTCACCTTCCTGCCGGAATCGAGGGCTGCAAGACAGGAGGGAAGACAGATGAGTGTCCAAGCACTTTTCAAAGAATGAGGACAAGATGCGAAATAAACGAACAAAACCAAAAAACAAGGGAACAGCTTACCTTGTCAGAAAATGGTGGTTTCTTTCCTGTAAATGACAGACATCAGACAGACCATGAATTCAGAACCTCATAAGCATGAAGTTTAAAAACACAGTTTGATGAAACCATGAGTCTGAACCCTTTTGGCGGCTGATGGAGTTTAAGCATTAAAGCATTAAAAACTTCAGACGAGGAAGGGTCCCTTACAGAGCACCAAATTTTATAATCTCAGAGAAATTGAATGGCTTTAATTAAATTTCATTTAATTTTAAGTTCACACAGCTTTGCGTACATACAGGTAGTATTGTGGATTCTGTGCTATTTTTGTTTAACTAAAAAAAGACCTAAAAAGAAAAATCAACATTTTCTTTTATATAACTGATGATCAAAAGGATTAATATTTTCTTGGGATTTTATACCTTTTTAATTGGCCAAAATATTTCTTCTGCAGCCTAAGTTTTATTTTTATATCGGAAACAAGCCCACTTGCCACAGAGGTTAATTTTTCTCCAATTCTGTGAAACAGTTGATATTAAATGAAGCACTCCATTTAGTTTCTGAAAAAACTTTTAACTTGGGGAGAGCATTTCGGGAGATTCTCCTGGCTCCTGAAGAAAGGCCAGGTGTACTTGATAATTCTACATCACGAAGCTATTCAAAGCAATTTAATTTGTATTCTATCTAAAGTCCCCTAGAATAAACATGTCCTTTGTTTTCAATGTGATCGAAGTATTACTAGCAGAATTCAACCAGGTCTAGAAGCCAATCCTATACGACCATGAACAGTTATTTAAGGTTTTTGAGTCCCAATGATATCCTCTCTCTAAAATGAAGATTATAGGTGAAAACCCTATAGGTGTGCCTCAAGAATCAGGCAACAATTTGTATGCAGGATCAACACGTGATTGTGAAAGTTGATCATACAAAGTGGGATTTTTATCACATCCAAGGAAAACAAAGTTGAGAAGCCAGAGGGAAAAGCGCTCAGGACACATAACATTGCTCCAGAAAAGTGATTCTATGGGAGTTTAGCTGCTGAAACCACCTGCTGTAACCTAAAACCAGTTTTATGTTGTAGTTGCTACGGTAATCTGCTGCAATTCGAAGATCCAGCTTTCCCTCTGCCACCACTCACCAATCGAAACTTGCCAGCCCCCCAGAACCAATTAACTTTCTCAAAGAGTGATATGTAACATTTCTCTTTTCTTTCTTTTTTTTTTTGAGACAGAGTTTCACCCTTGTTACCCAGGCTGGAGTGCAATGGCGCGATCTCGGCTCACCGCAACCTCCGCCTCCTGGGTTCAGGCAATTCTCCTGCCTCAGCCTCCTGAGTAGCTGGGATTACAGGCACACGCCACCATGCCCAGCTAATTTTTTGTGGTTTTTTTAGTAGAGACGGGGTTTCACCATGTTGACCAGGATGGTCTCGATATCTTGACCTCGTGATCCACCCGCCTTGGCCTCCCAAAGTGCTGGGATTACAGTCGTGAGCCACCGCGCCCGGCCAACATTTCTCTTTTTTATAAAACCTCCAGCCTCCTTTTGGTTCTTCAGAGGTAGTGAGGACCCTGAAGATCAATTGCTCCAAATTGCAATTCTTTCTTCCTAAATAAAAGAAACTTAGAGATATGCCTCTACGTTTTTATTTTGACATCGATACGGTCCATGCGGGCTGACAATTGTTAGTTAACTCGCCCTTCTTTCCCTTTCTTCCACACCCAGGCATAGTTAACCCCCTATGGTGAATAGTGATATTATCTGCCTTGAGTTGTATTTTCACAACGTGATTTATTCTTTAAGGACCAAGTACATCAGGCCCATGAGAATAATACTGTTTCATTGTGAAGAGCGTACTGGCACTGAGTGCAGTGACTCGTGCTTGTAGGGAGGCCAAGCCAGGAGAATCACTTGAGGCCAGGAGTTCAAGATCAGCCTGGTGAACACAGGGTAACCCCCGTCTCTACAGAATATTTAAAAATTAGCCAGGCATGGTGGCATGCACCTGTAATCCCAGCCACTCGGGAGGCTGGAGAAGGAGGATGACCTGACCCCAGGAGTTTGAGGCTGTAATGAGCTATGATGGTGCCACTGCACTCCAGCCTGGGTCACAGTGTGAGGCCCTGACTCAAAAAGAAAAGAGAAAAAAGACAGTGAGCTTGCTGCTGGTAGTGGGGAGAGTTTTGATGGTATAAAAGATGTTTGTAGAACTTTGGTTTGGGGCAGAACCTCTACTTCAGAGGGGCACCCAGGAAACTTAGATTTATAGTCTTTGGCCTGAATAAGTATTTTAAAGTTTGCCGATATTTGCATATTCTCCGAACATGTTAAAAGTCTCATGTGGAGTGCAAACATTTTAAGAAGACAATAATCCTTCCAAAACATCACAGAAAAGGGAGTAATTCAAGGGTAAGACAGAAATTTTTAAAAATGTTTTTAAATATGGAAAAAAAGAATCTTTTAAAAGAATAACTTTTGTGTCAGGAGGTGATTGTGAAGGATTTGATGTCAGTGTTCCACTTTTCTGATGTCTTGGCTCATGAGAGTGAGCAGGGTTGGAATCTGAAGTCAAATCCATCTTCATTTCCACGTAATTATACATCTCTCTATAGCAGACAATTCCAAACCAAAAGAGCCAGCACAGTTTTGCATGACTCAGCAGAGCTGTGATGCAGCTCGGGGAAAGAGCAGCAAGCAGCAGCCTCAAATCCAAGAACTGAAAGTCATTTTGCTGACAGACAAAAAGGGATTGAGGCCACAGAAGGCTAAATGCCTTGCTCGGAGCATAGCCAGGAAAGAGATGGGGGGCAGCTGGGATGGGCTCCTTATCTGTTCAGTTGCTGAGTTCCTTCCTCAGATTCATCTAATTCACAGCAAGTTAAAACCAAGGGTCCTCAACTGCAGCATGATATGGTGGAAAAGAGCACCCATTTAGAAGTCAGAAAGACGAGGATTCAAAGTCTGCACCTACTTACTCAAATTTAGGCAAACTATTCAACTTCTCTGAGCTTTAATTTTATTATCTGAGAAGTGAGGGTAAAAATGCCCCTCCTTTGCGGAGTTGGTGTGAGAATTAGAGATACTGTAGTTATATTTGTGGTAGGTAGGGCACTTGCCCAATAGTAGTTGCTCACTAAATGGTAGGAAGTTTTAGAATTGAATTGAAAATAGCTCCATGTGAAATGAAGATAAGTGCAATCCAAGAATATTCTGTGTAAACTGTGGAGGAAAAGGACTGCGGTATACCTAATGTTTGGTCAATTGCACACCCAAAACAAAACAACCCCGACATTTGAATAGCACCTTAGGGATTTATAAAGTATTTTCTATATACAGAACACCCACCTTACAAATTAGGAGATTAAGCCCTGAAAAAGTAACATCCCTGTGGTCCATGAGCTACTAAGTAGGAGGCAAGGCAGCAGACAGCAGCTCCCCTAGCCCCTTGTCGTAATTCATGTCCTCTCTCTGTACCCCAAAGCTTCTTGGCTGAAGGACAATGGGATTTGTGTACACAGATCACACACATCACATAGAGAAGCAGCACAGCCCCCAGGAGCTGCAAGCAGGAGCTTTCTAATGAGGCTGATCTGGGTTTAGGTCTCTACTCCCATCACTTGGTAGGCGTATGATCTTGGGAAGTTACCGCTTTGTGTCTCAGTTTCCTCATCGGTAAAGTGAGGATGATTCGAATGGTCTCCACTTCCTAGTATTGTGGCCATAGTTAAATGAGATTGTGCATGTGACATGCATGCAGAAAGCACTTTATAAAAGCTTATCTTTATTACTATGCATTAAATGTGAATCATACCCACCTAGTGTGAAGGGTTCTCTGTCAAACGGAGCTAAAGAACGATCTAGGGGAGGTTTCGTGCTTCTGTCTATTGAAGGAGCAGGGACTGGAAGGGGAAAAAGGCTGATATCAATGAAAAGAAGAAAGCAAAGTACAATTAAAAAAAAAAAAAAAAAGAAAAGAAAAGAAGAAGGCAGTTGGCTGGGGGTGGGGTGGGGCTAGGGGAGGGCCTGGTGGGAACAGGGCAAGAGAGAGCAGCCCTCATACTTACGCTTTGCTGTTTTGTGGTTTCTGCTTCTGGACTCTTCATGGTTGGTCTGGGGTGGGGGCAGTGGCTACATAAAGATCCAAACGTTAAGAAGCATTGCCAATACATCAGCAAGACGCGGCACTCTCAAAACCGATCCGGATCTGCTCACTTTTCCTCATCTTCCTGTTCTGCCTACAGACATCCATGTCCATTTCTTACCTGAACTACTGCAATAGCCTCCTGTCTGAGCCCCCTGTTCTATACTCTGCCATGGAGGCTCTTTTCTGCATGGCAGTGGAGTGAGCATGTCACTTTACTGCTAAGACTTCCTATAACATTAGGAACAAAATCAAAACCCACTAATGTCTTACATGGCCCTCCCTGAGCTGGCCCATGCCTTCCCTCTCAACTCTTTCCTATCATCCCCTCTCAGTACTCACGGGGTCCCCACCATAGCGTCATCCTGCAGTTCTTGGGAAATCTTAAGGTCATGCCCTCTTTGGCGTCTCTACACTTGTTTACCTCTGCCTAGAATGTTCTTCTCCCAGCTTTTGCCACGACCTGCTCATTCTGTCCCGGCTCCTTGTCACTTCCCCATCCACTGTCATGTTACCTGGTTTTCTGTCTCCCCAACCACATGTAACTACTCAAATGATCTTTCAGACATCTGTTTACCATCTGATGACCTGTCTCCCCCTAACCCTAGCTGAGCTTTAGGAAAGCAGGGACCTTATTTAACTTGTTCACACTTTATTCTCAGTGTCTAGAGCTCTACTTGGCACACAGTAGCTGCTCAGTCAATATCTGCTGATTGAATGAGTGAATTCTGCATCTCAATAGTGGAGATGAAGGTCTTCAAATTTCAAAAGCAATGTTTACTTGTAGATAGACTTGTAAAGAGAACACATTCATAGCTATCAATCCCTTAGTCTGAGCTTCTCAGGGTCACTCTGGGAACTTATCAGATTCACAAGAGCTGGGCTATATGCTTGAAGAAAGAGAAAACGGGGTTTGCCACCTCTGTCTCCTTGGGTCCGAAGGCAGCTGTCCCTGGAATTGCAGGTGTCGGCCAGAAGGTGGCGCAAGTCTTTTTGCAGGAGGGAGGAAGGCGCAGTACCCAACACCAGCAGGTGCTACGGACTTTATTCGGTTCTCTTACGGTTTATTTTACAGTTTTCACTTCTCTCAAATAGTGGAAAGTAAATAAAAACCCCCAGTATTTTACCCCAAAAAAGAAACAGTTGTGAGTGCCTGGGTATGCATCTTCCCAGCCGAGGGAAAAGATTATAATCTTTTCTTACTGGATTAGAATGAGGTAAAGATGTTTATAGTTCCATTTTTCTCTCTGGGGGAGGAAAGAACTGCAGTGGACACCAAGTACTATAAAAGAACGGGAGGAGGCCTACCGAGTGATTCCGGCCTGATGGCGGGGGCGGGAGGGCGACCATCGGTCTCTGGGGGGGCACAGGAGGCTGCTGGGGGGCTTTCCCAGAGAGGGGCCGGTCTGTGGAAACACAAGGTTATTAAAGTGAAAGGCGAGTGTTGGTCAAGGTCAGGGGTCTGCAGGAACAGATGTAGCTCAGGGCACTGGGGGGTGCATGATCCTCAAACCCCAGAACCATCAGTACCAGCAGGAACCCCAGCCACGGCAAGACCCAGCCTGGATCTCACCTACCCCTCCTGGCCCGTTTTTCTGTCCCAGTTGGTGTTACTCTTCTTCTACACAGGCTCAGCTTCCTTTGCACTTCACAGGAACAGGTATTAATCAGAGATTTTACCAATCAAGAAAGGCCTCTTTGTAAATAGCTCCGCCAGAACTGGAAGGGAGCATTGTCAGACAGTTTTGTAAAGAAGTAAACATACACGGCCGGGCGCGGTGGCTCACGCCTGTAATCCCAGCACTTTGGGAGGCTGAGGCGGGTGGATCACAAGGTCAAGAGATCGAGACCATCCTGGTCAACATGGTGAAACCCCATCTCTACTAAAAATACAAAAAATTAGATGGGCATGGTGGCACGTGCCTGTAATCCCAGCTACTCAGGAGGCTGAGGCAGGAGAATTGCCTGAACCCAGGAGGCGGAGGCTGCGGTGAGCCGAGATCGCGCCATTGCACTCCAGCCTGGGTAATGAGAGCGAAACTCCGTCTCAAAAAAAAAAAAAAAAAAAAAAGAAGAAGTAAACATACACATATAGCTCTGCATGCAGACACACAAATATACACATGTGCACACATGCACGCACACATGCAGACACACAAATATACACATGTGCACACATGCACGCACAAACACACATGCATATATATGCACACACCTGCACACACAGAGACACGTGTGCACACAGACACACACACATGCAAAAAATCTCACAGGCACACCCAGGTCCTTATGTAGGGTGAAGTCAGCTCTCTCTGCCCATGCGGATCTTGTTCTGGCTGCCCTTCCTTGCCCTCTCCAATGCCCTGGGCTGTCTCCTCCTTAACATTTCCTCCTTTTGTTCATCTCTTCCCATAAAGGGAGGAGCTGGTCACCAACTTCTGTTACCAGACCACAGACTCTTAAGTGGTAGCTAGATTTGCCTTGAACAGAAACATACATTATCTGAACAGAAACTCATATTATCCAGATCGCCAAGGAAGTGTCCCTAGGCCAGACTGACAGGCTGGCAATTTCCTACCCCTTTGACAGGGAAAGGCCAGGACAAGACCATCGGGCAAGAGAGGTGAGTGGGTAGGGTCTCCTTATGCTTTGTGCCCCGGGTGCCTCTCTCGCCTCACCCTAGTCCCCGGCTTGGAGAGGCGTGGCTCTTCCACAGGGAAGAGGGTAAGACAAGACCCAGCCTGACCTAATCTCACCCCACTCCACCAGCAATGACTGTCTCTCAGCTTCTCTAATAGGGCATGCTCCTTTGAGCCTCAGGCCCTTTGCATGGCCATTTCTACTGCTTCAAATTTCTTCCCTTACCACACCCATTTCCACTTGGTCAATTTGCATTCATCCTTTAATCTCAGTTTAATATCACAAGTTAAAGATCACACCCTCAGCCAAACGCCTCAGCCTCATCTCCTGCACTTGTCTTCCCGCCTCTGTGTCACAGTTTCACTAAGTAATCTCGTGGCTCATTTGTTAGAGGCCGCCTCACCTACTGGACTGTCAGTTCCTTGGCGAAGACTGTCTTGCTCACTGTGTAACTTAATGACTGGCACACACAAGGCGCTCAACAACTGGCTTATTCATTGCTTCTCCGGACCTCCACTTCTCTACATATGAAGCAGACTTGATCATGGTTGTCCTTATTACACAGGTGATTAAAAACCACCACGACACATTGAGACAGCGTTTCGTGAAAGGGCTTTAAAATGGAAATGGGTTATACCACATAAAAGATTAAATGGTATTCATTTTCTGTGGTACTGATCTTCAATTTTCAGCTTACTCCCTGAAAGTATATGATACAAGTATATATTTGTTTATTTTCTGTCAAGGTCACTATTAGAATATAAACCCCAGGAGGCAGGGGCTGTGTCGTCTTTCCTGATCATTTCTCAGCACTTAGAATGGGGCCTGGGCTTCCAGCAGATCAACAATGTTTGTTGAACGAGTGAATGGAGAGGTAAGTGGGCTAAAAGGACAGAGAGACAATAAAAATCATAAACACTGTCTCATTTTTTAAAAATTACAGTCAAACCCTACTCAGTCTCTTCACGCTTATTCTAACATATTAATACCGTGTAACTATGATTTGATCAAAAGATAGGGAAGAACAGGAAAGTACTCTTGGAGCACCTGAGTAACCACAGAATGAGTTGAAACTGCCAAAGAGCCTTAGGTGGGGTAGTTCAATGCTGATACCAGCCACCACGGCAGGAGCTGGTTGCAGTACTAGTAGTCCTCACAGCAAGACTATGTGATCTGTACGCTACTATCCTATCTCACAGATGAGGAAATTGAGACCCAGAGAGGTAGAGTTACTTGTACAGAGCCACATAGCTGTTAAGAAGCCGAGCAGAGGCCGGGCGCGGTGGCTCACGCCTATAATCCCAGCACTTTGGGAGGCCGAGGTGGGTGGATCACGAGGTTAAGAGATCGAGACCATCCTGGTCAACATGGTGAAACTCTGTCTCTACTAAAAATACAAAAATTAGCTGGGTGTGGTGGCATGCGTCTGTAGTCCCAGCTACTCGGGAGGCTGAGGCAGGAGAATTGCTTGAACCCAGGAGGCAGAGGTTGCGGTGCGCCGAGATCGCACCATTGCACTCCAGCCTGGGTAACAAGAGAGAAACTCCGACTCAAAAACAAACAAACAAACAAACAAAAAAAAATGCCGAGCAGGTGTCTGCACCCAGAGCTTTCTGCTACATGGGCAAGCTGAGCCATCGGCCTTCTGTGCAGCAGTGGGGAGCTTGGCTTTGGGCTGCTGGGGCCAGAGAATTTGGAAGCGGGCCCTTACCGATGTACATGGAGTTGGAGTTGGGGAAAGGCTTGGCAGGCAGGATGGAGCTCTGCAGAGCTTCCTCATCATTGGAGGGTGGTGGCTCATAATCCGCATCATCTTCCACGGGTGCCTCTTCCTCCTCATTGGGGGACTCATAGTCACCATCATCCTCTCCATCCTGGTCATCATTGGGACTCTCATAGTCATCTTCTTCCTGCCAACACAGTGACAGGGACCATGCAGTTTGTAGAGGCTCTGTGGCCTGCGATGTGCCTGTGCCTACTGTCTCCCTGCCAAGCCTCACAACAGCATAACCCCGGGCCGGGCAGCCTGAAGGTGGTTACTCCTATCTTACAGATGAGGAAACTGAGGTCAGGGAGCACCGTATCACAGGGGCAGCAAGTCATGGACTTGAGACCTTGCTGAAGGTCTTCGGACCACCTTTTTATACAACATCTTTTTGCACAACAGAGAAAAAGAGAAGAAATGAGGAGGATGTTGGAAGAGAGGGTATAGGAATAGGCTCTGTCTTGAGTAAACACATTTTTTACTCCCAGCATCACCAAGAGAAAGGCTAATGGCCTGGAGCATTTGTGATGATACTAATTGATTACCATTTCTTAGCTTGCCCGTGCTCAAAAAATGTCCTCTCATTATAACCTAGAGCAGTGTTGAAGGCCTAGCTAATGGGGAAAACAGATCAACAAAGCCTGTTAAGCGGAAGGCAGATTAGGCTGTGTCTAGGAGGGGACGGTCAGAGGCTGTGCTATTCTTTTTGCTGAGAGTTGAGTGTATCAACATATCCATTATTCACGAAATCTGACACTGAGTTTGAAGCTGCTTTCTTGGAAAAGACTCTAAATTTTAAATTTGTAACTATATTTTATTTTTGCTCCTTCCTGAGTCTCAGGGAAAGTAAGCTCTAAGTGCTGGGTGCTTGCCTTTGAGGCAGTCCGTGAAAGTGCAGGAGCATTGGAATGACTTCCTAGCAGAGGTGGCGTCAGCAGCGGCAGTGATGAGCACTCACCGTGGTCACGCCAACGTCCAGGCGTGAGTCAGTGAGCCCAGAGCTCAACACTCAAGGGCAGTGTGGGAAAAAGCAATGGGAAGTGGCCGCTTTTTTGAGGAAAGGGATGTTCCAATGTCCCAGAAATCCTGACAGCTTTGGGTGGCCTCAGACAGACTGTCTTTAAGCTGCTCAGTTGAAAGATTCCTGTGTTTGTTTTTGACTTGAGGAATATTAAAAACATCAACAATAGAGGAGCATAATGAGCACTGGGTGGCTTCCCAACTGCAAAAAAGACTTTGTCCTGCCCTGTCAGTGTTCTTTTTTTTTAGAGACGGAGTCTCGCACTCTTGCCCAGTCTGTTGTGCAGTGGCGTGATCTCAGCTCACTGCAATCTCCGCCTCCTGGGTTCAAGCAATTCTCCTGCCTTAGCCTCCCTAGTAGGTGAAACTAGAGGTGTGCACCACCACACCCAGCTAATTTTTTTTGTATTTTTAGTAGAGACAGGGTTTCACCATGTTGGCCAGGATGGTCTCCATCTCTTGACCTCGAGATCTATCCGCCTTGGCCTCCCAAAGTGCTAGGATTATAGGCGTGAGCCACAGTGCCTGGCCTCAGTCAGTGTTCTCACAACTTAGGAGCAGGTGGGCAGAGCCCTGGAGAAATGCCGCTTCAGATCAAGAGCCTCAGCATGGAGGTCCGCAGGCACGTGGCCTCCCTCCAGCCCCTGCTGACCTTTCCCTCGCCCTGTCCGGCCCAGGCCAGTCATTCCCGACTTAACACCAGCCCTTTACCCCATCAACCTTTCTCAAATGACAGACTTTTCCTCTCTGCTTCTAGAACAATTATTTTCTCCCAATCATTTGGCTCCTAAATTTGTATGCATGGTGTTGCTGCCAATTATACTCTGCCATATGTGTGTTAAAGTAAATTAAAGTGGGAACCAGGCCTGACGAATCCCTGAGCAGGCAAAACCAGTTGGGTCTCCTCAGTGACCTAAACCTTACTTGATTTGCAAGCATAAGCAAAAGTTAACTTGGGCTATTTCTCGTAAATGGCTATATTAAAGAAAAACAGAACTTAAGCTCAACCAATCAGAAGTAGCCAACAAACTTATAATTATATAACTAGGAGCTTTCCAGCAAGATAGGCTAAATGAGATTGGTTATAACTGTAACCCATCAAATGTTTTTTGGAATGTGGATTAAGTATTACATCCACATTCACTTTATAAACGCTTAGCCCTCATGCTTCTTCAGCGAAGCCTCCGTCTGGTTTGGTGCTGCCTCATTCATGAATGTTTGTTTGCTTAAATAAATGCCTTTAAAAAAAAAATTGCATTGTGCCTCAGTTTGCCTTTTTAAAATGGGGTATCCATACTGTAAAATGCCCATGATTGGGTTCTTTATCTCCACCCATTTCCCTGTTTGCCCTTGCAAAGAGCTGGGCACATAACGTAGCTGCCAAGTTCTATAGCCACTAGTGAACGGAGGCCCTCAGTTCACAGAGAGGCTGGAAGACTAGCCTCAGGCATAGAACCAGAGGCTGCATGGCAAGGATTTGGCCTCTGTGAGTAAGCAGAAACATTTCAGTGGAAACTCTGGGCTATTTTCCCTTTGTACCAAAGAAATTTGTCAAATTTCTTCATTTTCAGATAGAAAGAATAAACTTAGCTAACACTTTTTTTTTTTTCAAATTAAATGCTTTCTTTTACCAGAATCCCAATAGGACAAAGGACATTTTGTTTTTTCTTTGTTCCTTTTTTTTTCTTTTTTTTTTTTTAGAGACGGGATTTCACCATGTTGGCCAGGATGGTCTTCTTGATCTCCTGACCTCATGATCCGCCGACCTCGGCCTTCCAAAGTGCTGGGATTACAGACATGAGCCACCTAGCCTGGCCTTTTATTTTTGCTTTCTAAAGGCACTAGAGGCAGCCTTTTACCAGAAGTACCACGTGACTGAGGGTCTGGTTACCTGGGTCCTAGGTCTGCCTCTAACTAGCTTTGTGGTCTACACAAGTCACATTCTGCTCTCCTATGGGCTCAGTTGCCTCATCTGTAAAATGAATAGATTGGGCTAAAGTTCGTAATAGAGTTCTCTGCCTGAGGCTGCTTGGTTGCAGTGGGTGCAGGGGCTGTGCATATAGATTTCTGGGGAGGGGTTGTACAATCCACCGGACTCTCAGAAGGGGCACTGTGACCTTTCAATGTAAAATCCAACTGGATCGCGCCCTCCTCGAGGTCTTTTCAGGGCTAACAGTAGGTTTTGAAGTTATTTTCCCTCCATGCCACCGATGGGGACTTAAGTCCATGTGAAAAGCTGCTTGAGAATAGATTTCTAGGAGTGGCCGTTTCTGGAGGTGGGGGTTGTGGGTGGGGGGTGGTAACAGTGGGTAAAGTGCAGTAAGCAAAGTACAGCCCAGGGCCACATGTCGCCCACCCTCTGCGTATGGCACAAAGCGAAGCACATTTGTTTGCTCATTGTTTGTGGCTGCTTTTGTGCTCCAATGGCAGAGCTGAGCAGCGGAGACAGAGGCTGCATGGCTCCCAGAATTGAAGCCATTTCCTGTCTGGCCCTATGCAGAACACCTTTTCTGAGCCCCAGGTGGGTGTGCTGGCATCATGTTAGAGCCCGCTCCACTTGGCTTCACGCTGGGTCCTTATCACAAAGCCACCCTGGACACGGCTGTAAAGGTGTGAGAACAGCCCACACCATACTCACAAAGGACGACCAGCCCCCATTGTCTTCTTCGTGGCTTTCTGTGGAAGGAAATGACACTACCATCAGCACTGAAGAAAGCTGCCACTTGAAGGAAAGTCAAAGCCGCTTCCCCATCTGATGCCTTTCCCCATCCCAGGCCTCCACCTACCTTCCACACCCCTGGGGGTTTCGCCACTTACTATCAGCTCCAGAGACCCTGCCCAAGGAGTTCATTCTACTGAAGAACCAGGGGAGCGGCAATGGTTCTCAACCTTTCACATGCGTAATAGTGACTTAGGAGTGCTTTAAGATGTGTAGATACCTGGGGGCCTATCCCTACAGCTTTGGATTCAGCAGGAAGGGCCAGGGCCCAGGAATCCGCATTGCAAACACTATGCGCAGTTGAACAGTTGAAACGCTGCTTTAAAGACTCAGATTCAGGGGCACTAGCTCAGTTCAGGTGCCCAGTCAGAGTTGGGGTCCCTCTGTTTTCCTCTACAGATCTCCCAGAGCTCTTCAATGTGTCCCTGAAGATGGTCCCAGCAGAACAGGGGCCATAAGCCAGGTACCCTCAGAGCGACATCTCCTCCCCCCCATCTAGACCCAAACCCTTTTCTGGGTAAGAACTGGCTGACAGACAAGTCAGTAAGGTCACCTGAATGAACCCAAAGAGCCCCGAAAACCAGAAAGACAAGAGAACTGAGATACCTATCACCTCCTAAAGCAATCACTTCTCAGCCCTGACATCTTTACCTGTCTCTTCAGGAAAGCGCTGGACTTGGGGTCTGCAAAGGCAAATAGCATTGCATTAATAGTCCTATTGATTTAAGGGGATCTCCCTCTTTCTTCAACCCGGTCCAGGGACAGTGAGCCCCAGTGGAGGCCATGCCTCACTGCCCAAGAGGGGCTGGTGTCCTTGCTGCTCAGCAGCTGGGGCTAGGATACCCTGAAAATTCTGGAAATCACCAAGCCACATCAGTGGCATTACTGGAAGCTCATGTCTGCCTGATGTTCTAGAGGAAGTTCCCCTGATGTCTCAGACCCAGGAACAGGATGCAGGGCAGGAGAGGGAACCCCTTTCCCTCCTTGGACACCATCTTCCAGATCCCTGGGACTCAGGGGACCAATACAGGTCAAAAAGTAGGGCAAAAACAGTTCTGTGCCTCCCTTTTAAGGCTCAACCTGGGATTGAAAAATCTTGCATTTCCTTACACCAGCCCCACTCACTTGCGTGTGAAGATGCTCCTTCTCTCTTCATTCTTGTTGATTTCTTGACTTAACTTACTGAGAATCCTGCAAGATAAAGAGAAAGATAAAGAGACAAAATCATATCCTCTCGGCCTCAGCTTTCCCCCGACCCTTGACGCCCTGTGGTCTGTAGAACTTTGGGGCACCAGGGCCAACTTTGGCCAGCCTCCTCTTTGTCACCTCTGCAGGGATCCTCTGCTCCTCACTTCCTCCCAGAATTTGCCACCTTATTCCCCAGGCCAGACGTTCCTCCTGCCCAGGAAGCCCACTCTCCTCCTTGCTGATCTGTGTCTGGCTGAGCCTTCCAAGTCCAGCTCAGAGCTTCTCCGTAAAGACTTGTCAGTTCACACCTGGCTTCCCCTCCGAACGTCGGGACCCTTAGGATCTGGATACAACAGCTGTGTATTTTCTTGTCTTACTCTTCCTGGGTCTGAGGTCCCCTGGCTCTTGCATGACTTGGCAGTGCTGTCTTGTCCCCAAGAATCTTCAGACCATCTTCTAGACCCAGAGGAATCAGCTGCTCCTTGGAGATTTCTTAGCACAACCTCTAGTGGGCTTCTCTTTGGTCTGTCATCTCCCTCCATCTTCCCCTCCCAGACTCCCACTCCGAGTGGATGTGTAAGATGTGGATTCTTACAAAAGCTTGGGGAGGTATTCTCTATAAAGGCAGGGCCTGCACAATGAGAGACTCCTTGAATCCCTCATGCCCCTGAGGCCAGCTTTCTCGAAGACACTTGAAGATACTCTTAGTCCCCAGGTACTTTCATGTCAGAACTAGCAAATCTCCAAACCTCAGGATGGAACTGGGGGCGCTGGGGCAGGAGGGCTTTGCCATCAGAACTGCATCTCCAACATGCCCGAGCAACAAGCATCCATTCTAGTCTCTCAAACATTCAGAACTTACGACTCCAGCCCCACGTAGTACCCACTGATGAGACCAAGGAGACCCTCAGTAGTCGACAGGCTTAGTGTTTCCTAGGGATTGGGGACAACTGGAAGGGACTTCAGATTATCTAGTCTAATTTCATTTTACAGAGGAGGTAGCAGAGGACCGGACAAAGAAGGAATTAGCTTGAAACCATGTAGTAGTTAATAGTAAAGGCTACCTCTCCTCCCACAACTCATGCCGGCACCACAAGCCAGCCTTTCTAATCTCCAAGCCAGCATTCTTGCAATGCACACGCCCCCGTGTCAGTTCCTTTCTGCTGCAAGCTCTCTGGAGGCAGACACTGTTGAGTCCCTGGCCTGCCTATGAGAATGACACATGATCTCTATTCCTTCTGCTTAATGACCATCCCACGGTAACAAGTTTAGCCTAAAATAAACTTGCTAAGTTAGCAAAGGAAGTCCTTAGCAGCCACCAAGTCTCGATTCCTCTATCACCTCCCCTGCCCCTCAACTCCCCGATTTCTCCCAACAAATGGGCTCCAGGCAGAGCATGGTGACTCATGCCTGTAATCCCAGCACTTTGAGAGGCCAAAGTGGGCAGATCACTGAGGTCAGGCATTTGAGACCAGCCTGGCCAACATGGTGAAACCCCGTCTCTACTAAAAATACAAAAATTAGCCGGGCGTGGTGCTTGCCTATAATCCCAGTTCCTCAGGAGGCTGAGGCAGGAGAATGGATTGAACCTGGGAGGCAGAGGTTGTAGTGAGCCAAGATCACTCCACTGCACTTCGGCCTGGGCAATAAGAGTGAAACTCTGTCTCAAAAAGAAAGAAAAAAAAGGAAGAAAGAAAGAAAAGAAAAGAAATGGTATCAAAACCCTCCTACCTCATTAGAACAACGGGATAGACAAGTTTTGATAAACAGGCTAGGTACAGAAGAGGAAAGAGGAGAAGGGGAAAGGTTGACTCTCTGTAATTGTGTTGTTGGCGACTCTAGGCTTCTATGACTGCACAGAGGAAGAGAGGCTTTAGGAGCAGCAGGGGGGCTTCCTAGTTGCCTCCTGACCATGCTGTCAGAATGCTTGTGACGCGGTTCTTTTTGTTCTTTTAAGGGGTTGTTTCCAGAAGGCGGTGGGCATGTGGGATGGCAGGGAGCCCTGTTAGTGTCCTGTGTCCTGGCCATGTCAGGTGGTGCTGGCTGCAGCAGCCACTCCCATTCTGTCACCTGTTTATTCAACAATGTACATCACGGGCCTTCTATGTGCCAGGAACTTAGAAGTGCTCAAGGTGCATCAATGAACAAAACACAAAGATCCTTACTAGTGGAGAGAGAGATTTAAGGAGGTGAAATGTGATGCCTATGCACCATGCACATGCAGTGTGGGGGGCTGGGGAGGGGAAGGGGAGTGCAGGCATGGGGTGTGGTTGCCATTTAAAATGAACCGGCCTCACTGAAGAGGTGACATTTCAGTAATGACTTGAGCGAGGTGGGACTGAGGCTCACCTCAGTGCCCTCCTCCTACAGACCTTGGTGGGGCTCTGACCAGCGCACAAGGCTGCTTTGGATCTTGAAAGAACCTCCTGCTCTCTGCGGTGTTGCCTCTCACAGTATCTCTAACAGCCGGGTTGGAGGCTGCTGGGGCTCGATCTGGGTGAGGAAGGAAATGCCAAACCGCAGGCCCCAGCAGAGGAGCAACAAAGAGCCGAGGGAGGGCAGAATAGGGCCTGGCAGTTGGCGTGCAGCAAAGTGTGGGCTCCCAGAGCCCTTCTGCTTTGATGGGTTACAGAGAGCACCTCCCAAGCCTGTGGGAGCCCTGCCAGGGGCCAGAGGGCAGGGCGACAGTGATGGTGTGCGGGCAGGGAAGTGGTTGCTATGGCTATCGCTATGTGCAAACCTTCAAATGACACCCCACCCCTGGAGGACCAAGTGACAGTGAGTGGAGGGAGGTGACTCATTCTCCCTTCACCCCATAAACCCCAGGCCTCACTGAGAACCAGAGCAAGAAGTGATGGGGGCCGGGCAGCCACAGTTAAAAAGCAGTCCTCTCCGCTTGCCTTTGAGGAACTAGCTGGCCCTGGAAATGGACTGAACCTCCCCCCAGGAAGCCAGCCCGTTGTAGGAAGGCAACATTCTACAATGACCTGGGTTCCAGTCCAGCTGCACCCCTAACTTGTAGCATGGGGGGCCAGTCTTCATCTTGTCAGTCTAAGGTCTCTCCCGGTGAAGTACAAGGCACAAGGCCTGCAGGCACAGGCAAGCTGGCTGCAATGTCCGGCCTCAAGGGCAGCGCCCACTGTGTGAGCTCAGACAAGGGAGCCGCTCTGCCTGGCCCCCCGATTCCTTATCAGCACAGTACAGGGGTTGAATCTGATTAGGGAATCCCCGATGGGCCTGATCATCATGATTACCTAGCTGTGCCTGTTACAAACTCCGATCACCAGGCCCAGCCTAGACCTACCTGAACAGACTCTCCAAGGAGAAGCCTGAGGCTCAGTGACATCAACCAACCCCAACTATTATGATAGAAAAAGCTTGTGAAATAAATCCTGTTATCCTTAACACTGAAGAAATTGTTTGTTTGCTTGCTTGCTTGTTTTGAAGAGGAGGAGAAGGAAAGGCAGGAGAAGGAAAGGCAGACGGAACTTTGTGATTATGAATGGTGTGAAGTAGGAGAGTTGGGGTACGCGGGGCCTTAGCTGGCCTTTGGTGTAGCCCATCAATTCTCCCCTGTGCTTGAACAGCTGTGAAGGAAGCCCCAGTAGTGGGTCTAGAAATCAACCTTGCTATTCACACAGGAAGAAAGAAACTATAGAAGAAATGCAGGCTGGCAGGCAGGCAGAAAAGAAGGGAGAGAGGTAAGGTGGACGGAAAAGAAGGAAGGGGAGGGGAGGGGAGGGGAGGGCAGGGCAGGGCAGGGCAGGGCAGGGCAGGG